GTGCAATGCTGTAGAATGAATTTACTCACGTAATAGTTTTTATTTTTTTAATTTTCAATATTTTAATTATAATATTGGCATTTGTGTTTGGAGATTTTGTTTTGATTCTGTAATTTCATACAATCTTCAACCAAAGATGGCAGATTTAATTAGATCCTTTTATTCCTAGCTGACATCTTCAAAGTTCTATGGAATTTTCTTGAACGCGTTTGCAATATAATAATTTGTCACATAAAGAAATTTGCACTTTAGAGTTTAACTAAATTAAATGGGGATTATTCCCACTGGTCAAAATTTGTCATTGGATCAATGCGTATCATATCAAAAAAGTAGCTATTGTTTTTCTAATTCTATTAAAATAGTTGCGTTTTTTTTTTTGTTTTTTTTTTTTTTTTTTTTTTTTTTCTCATCTTTTTTATTTCTGCATTTTCGCTGCCAATTTCTGTAGATATCTTGAATGAAATAGAGTCACATCCGTGTGGGAGCATCACAATTTGGAATCAGTTTTTGTGTATGTGTGTGTGTGTATTTTTGTTTTTGCTTTTTTTTTGTTGTTGTTTTTTTGTATTTTTATATCATTTCACCCCATGCAAGGCAGTAAAGCCACTAAGACACAAAGGGTTACTGAGTGTGAAAGAATAAGAAAACAAAATATTATTAAGGCGCGAGAACAATAAAAGAAGAGGAACCAAGAAGACAGTAGATAACGATTGACATTTCATTTACACTTTTGAAGATCAAAGTTGGCTGGAAAGCATGGAGCAGGGACAGAGTTCAACAAGCGAGAAGTCCGAGAAAAGAAGCTGTTAGCATAGAACCTATCGTGGCATTTAGTCAATTCAACTGTAAATTGATAAGACCTTGCCCCCGCTTCTACGCTTAAATTCATAGACTAGGTATTATTCCGAGGAGTTTACCCGAACAGTTACCATCCAATTATTTATAAAAACGACACGAGGAAGCTACGCTAATGCAGAGAGAAAGTTACTAAAGCCGATATACTAGGTTAGGACCAATAATGTTGCTGATACTTCTTTGGGTTTTAACAAGAATCTCTAAATATAAAGCAGGAGCACCGGACCATATGTGTCAGCAACATTCTAAGCATGAACGAATGACAGACTTATAAATATGTAAGATAGATTCAGGGGAGAAATATTGTCCAGTACGACACAGTGAACCAACTTTCTTAGCAGCTGACATAGCAATGGATTCAATATAATCTTTCTGCTTTATATAAACCGTGAATGTCACTCTCATAGAAGTTAGTTAGCTATTTTGATGGGAGGCAAGAATGGGTCTTTCAGTTGATTGATAGAGTGAAGCTTCGTTTTGGGGGTTTTAAAACTAACATTCCCTGTCCCGGATAACAAAGGACTGTAGGTCATTTTGATGTCACCTGCCAATTTGACCTTATCGAATTGAGTAGGCATACTATCGAGACAGGATAGTTGCGCCATAACATAGATATCAAGTTCAGAACTGATGCCATCAGGAAGGTCATTAATGAACATTAAGAACAAAGTAAGTTCAGAGATAGAGCCCTTAGGGGCGGGACACCTGCATTAATACAAAAGGATCAGAAAGAGTGGCCATTCAAGACAACTTTTAACCAAAATCAACAGTTTTCGGGTTTTATAAATTTGCATCAATGTAAATTTTATCTGCGTGTCTCCACCCTACATAAGCAAAACGCCACATCTTGTGGCGCTAATGAATTCGCTATCACACTATATATATATATATATATATATATATATATATATATATATATAAATAAAGAAAGAACAGTAAGATATATATAATCCGGGGTTCTTATAGATATTTTTATTTTTACAAAATAGTGCTCAATGTAAATTTACAGAGCATTAATATTATAAATTAATTGATTTAAAATATGTTTTTTTTTCGCTACACAGTTCTAACCATGTTTTAAAAATGGAAGCTAAAAGCTTCGAATTTAATTTTGTAATTAAATAAAAGACATTAGTTCCATTTCATCCTCAAGCGAATTTTGGCGTAAATTATTACTGGATTTTAAAATCACAGCAAAAATCTTAATTAACGTTTCCAAGGATACAGAGAAATCCATTCATCTAGACAAGGGGTGTTTGCGTGTTCATTATCGCTGTATTTTGATGTATCAGTTATTAGTTACGTTTTGGTAGGAGTGGGGATGTATTTTTCAATGGAATCTGACATCCGTTAAATGCATGTCGTCTGGATTCTTTTAAAAATTTATTGTTAAAGGCAAAAATTCTTACGGCATTTTTTTCTATTTGTATACTTAAAGATTTTTGGGGTGGTGTTTAGGTTATAATATGTTTTATTTAACTACGATTTTTTAAAATTTTCACTTTTAATTTTTAATATACTATATTTCATTTTAAAACAAGTAAATGTATTAGAATCACTTACAGTACGTAAAATTATTTTCACATCAAGTATAAGTATATTACTAGGTCACAATCTTTTTAGATTTATATTTAAATATTGTTTAAGTAAAATTTTTGACAATGACAGCAAAATTAGCTAATTAATTTCTCTGATTTACTAAACTTTGATTTTTTATATATTTTATATAAATCCAGTAATATATAGTTTCTCATGTATGTACAAAGGACATGGGTCTTTCAATGGCCTACATCTTCTAGCTTTTCATCATAGTTTCATTTTACTGTATGTGTTTTATTGGATTCATTTAAGTGTCGGTAGTACTTTGAGAGAGGTGTTTAGGTTAGAATACGTTTATTTAACTACAATTTTAAAAGATGTTTAGGTTAGAATTCGTTTTAACTACAATTTTAAATACAACTTTAAAATATTTTCACTGTCATTTTAATAGACTATATATTTTTTCTTTTTTTTTTAAACAAGTAAATGTAATATATACAGTATATAAAAATATTTTTTCACATTAAATATAAGTATGTATATTACCTGGTCGCACTTTTTAAATTTATTTTTATTTTTAAATATTATTTAAGGAAATTTTTATAATGACGGCATAAAATAGCTATTTCATTTCTCTGATTCAGTAATTTTTTATTTTTTATAGTTTCTCATTTATGCACAAAGGACATGGGTCATTTAATGACCTACATATTCTAGCTTTTTTTATTAACTTCCATTTTACTGTAGGTGTTTTATTTGATTCTTTTAGGTGTCAGAAGTATTTTTAGGTGCCAGAAGTATTTTTATATTTATTTATCCTAAATGAACTTTGATGTAGGTTGAATCTTTTTTTGAACTCATGGCTTGATGCTCCCACTCAGTCGGCAGGTGAGGACAACAATACGTCCCACATGAAGTAACCATTGCCTCATGACTCTTTGGGGCTTGACCCCCAAGGACGAGAAAGATTTAATAACGGTGTCTTTTGTGGAGCGGCAAATTTTGCGTGACGGCTTGTTGACCCCAAAGACTGACACAATTCTTTTTTAACCTTCTGTAACTCCTCAGGATCTACTTAGAGCCCATCTTCTTTGATAAGATGTGCGTATTCCCTTGGCTCTCTCGAGAAACTCAGTGGGGACTTCCAGCATGTGGGATTATCTCCAACCGCTACACTGTCGTTGCGGTTGGTGCTGGTCTCAGTTAGAAACCCATATTCATTTCCTTGATTTGGCCCTTTGTGGCCTCCAGGCTTTTTTCTTTACAATTTTTCTTCATTATTTTTTGTAAACTACACCCTCAACAACCACTTTTTATCGGGAAGGGCGGGTCTTTCTTCCCCGACCGGAACAGGTCTTCTTTAATCGCCCGGCTTTAGTCGTTCATATTTTATAACTTTTTTAAAATAACTATTTTTTTTCTGGAAAATAGAGAATTTTCTTTAAAAGAAAAAATTAAACAATAGAAATAAGGAAATACCAAAACAAAATAATAAACCGTCTGCTAAAGAAATGCTTCTCAAACTATCCGGTGTGGCGTATTGAGATTTTTTTTCGGTATGCGAGGGACCGGCGGGGAAAAAACTTTCCAGTCCAGCATTGGAATTCGGGGGCATTATTCCCCCACTAATTTTTTTTTATATGTCCTATTTAAGGGTCATTTTTAAACTACCTGTACTAAATATGAAAACATGATGGCATTATGGTATCCCTAGGTGTGATTCCTTCAGAGTCACACGTTACATCATCATGACGTCTTTCCATACGTATTTTATTTCACTGTTTTGTCCTCCATTATGTCACATTCGTTAATTGTATAGCAACGGCCTTTAATACAGATGGACAATTGAAAAATGTAACCATGATAAAACAAAAATGTTAAAAAAAGAAACCGAGTCATATATCCCGGCATTCTTTCGTGTTGTCGAATGCGATTACTTGTCCTTTGTTTCCTGGTAACTCTCCGCGTACCAGCAAACGATGATTTGGTTACAGGCACCACACTTTGAGTAGCGCAGTGCTAGAGTGACTATTTAACACCGGCCGATTCAACCTATGCTTCGCATTACAACAAAGTTAAGCAGAGCTTATTTACAGTTTCAGGTGGAGAGCAAGCAATGGTTGAAAGCAATCAACAATTTGAACAAAGCCTGTATGATTCAAGCTCAACCATCGACGTTTCCAAACAGTTCTACCCAATTTCACTCACATGCAATAAAAAATCATCTTCCTGATAAATCGACCATGCTGACATTCAAACCAGCGTTTCAAGTTTGTGGTAATGAATGGAGACCGGCCGAAAAACTGTGCAGAATAACTCCGCTGTTGTTAAAAAAATAGGTTCTGAACTCATTACATCAAATTATTCCCGATGTTCTTCGGAGGCTGCCCGTCAAGGTAGCTGACTCAGATTAAAAAATTTCGATAAAAAGCGTAAGAAATAAAAACGAAAGAAATACCTATCAATAATTAATAAGAAGAATTGCAACTGTTCACATAGTTTAGTATTCACATTTAGAAGGTTGTTAAGTGATGAATAAATTTCCGAATTTGGGAAACAATTGTAATGACGAATGTAACACTGTAACTACTAATCAAACGTGACACTTAACTGGAGTACACTAACAGATAGATAGATAGATAGATAGATAGATAGATAGATAGATAGATAGATAGATAGATAGATAGATTAGGATGAGTCATGAATAATTTCCGATTCTTGGAACCAATTGTAATGACCCCAAGGACTAAACATAGGTGGCAGTTAACTGGGGCACACTAACATATAACATATAACAGACAGTGACAGATAGATAGATAGATAGATAGATAGATAGATAGATAGATATAAACAGACTGAGATAGATAGATAGATAGATAGATAGATAGATAGATAGATAGATAGATAGATTAGGATGAGTCATGAATAATTTCCCATTCTTGGAACCAATTGTAATGACCCTAACTACTAAACATAGGTGGCAATTAACTGGAGCATACTAACATATAACATATAACAGATAGATAGATAGATAGATAGATAGATAGATAGATAGATAGATAGATAGATAGAGTGGGGTTGAATAAGTGATCGTACAGCAAACAAATCTCACTTATAGCAAATGAAAACCTCGAATAACAATGTTATGTATTTTGGGGCATAGAATCAGAATCTGCAATTGAAAATTAGAAATTCATCAATAAGTGATAGTTATGCAAATTTTTATATTTCAAATAGTGGAAAAAGTGTTCGTATAGTATCAATTTTTGCATTATAATATGGTAGATTTTGGTTGTACTTCAAAGTAGAAGATTCTAAACTGTTCTAGAATATTTTCAGTAACTCTATTGCAACATTCAATTCAAAATTGGATCATTCTGCAGTCACTGTTCACGGATAAAGGTTCTAATAATGGCTAGACATAAGGAAATGATTTGTGCTCAAAAAGAGCTAATTATCAAGCTATGGAACAATGGAAAAAGGTACAGAAACATCTCCAGTGACACGAACATACCTTTTTCAACAAGTGGTTCATTTATTGCAAGATTTAAAAGATGTAATACTGTTGAGAACAAAGGCAGACCCGGTGCTCCCAGGAAGATCTCTCCCAGATTATGAAGAAAGATGATGCAACAGGTCCAAAATAACTCAATGGCCATCAGACAAGACCTTCAGAATGATCTGAGTTTATCAGGAGTTAACGTAACTAAGCAAAAGATTAGTAATGAACTACGTAGAGATGGCATAAAGTTGCACTCTCCAAGAAAGACACCACTCCTTGATGCCAGGTTGCAATTTGCGACAGAGCATAAAGATAAGGAAAATTCTTATTGGGAAAGAGATCTTTGGACAGATGAGAGTAAAATTGAGTTGTCCGGTCGCAAATCCCTGAATCATGTATGGAGGAAAGACGGTGAAGCATACGCACACAAGGACACCATACCAACTGTCAAATTTGGTCGGGGTAGTATCATAGTTTGGGGCTGCTTTTCGATGCGAGGTGTTTGCAAACTAGTAATTATAGACGGTAGAATGAATGCAGAAAAATATCAACAAATCCTAAGCGAAAATTTATCGCTTTCTGTAGAGAATCTTGGGCTTCCTCCTAATTGGATCTTCCAGCAGGACATTTTTAGTATGCAATCTGATACAGAAGATATATTCTCGTTTTGTTAATTTAATATATTACAAATAAAAATCTGAAATATTTTCATATTTACGATCACTTATTCAACCGTACTGTATATAGATAGATAGATAGATAGATAGATAGATAGATTGTGTCATAATATGTTCCGTACTTGGGAAACCATTGTAATGACGAATGTATCACGTAACTACTAATCAAATGTGACAATTAATTGAAGTATACTAACATATAATATAGATATACATATAGATAAGAAGAGAGAGGAAAATGTATGAAGAGAGATAGATAGATAAATTAGCTTGTGTCATGATAATTTCCAATTTTTGGAAACAATTGTAATGACGAATGTATCATCCTAACTAGTGATCATATGCGTCAGTTAAGAATAAATGTGAAGCACACTGACATACATTAGATTTTATCTTCTCCATGAAAACGTAAAGACGGATGCATAATGGAAAAAACAGGAAAACTTTTCGGAACTGTGTTTTTCTGTTATACCTCACCTACCATAACCTGTTGATCTTACAGCGACCTATTATTATCCTTTGGGGTCGAGAGAGAATAAAATATGAAAATATTTTGGAACTGGGTTTGTCTGTTCTTCCGCACCCACCATGTTCTGCTGTTTGGTGAACGCGCGTCTGTACAGACGCAAAAGCTGCCTCGAATGCGGGCATATCTGTCAAAACCAGTGACATAGGGTTTTCCTCGTTAGCAGCCGAACAACTTGGCATTTTCAGATACGGGCCTCTTTGCACTTTGTCCAGATCAGAGTTTCTGTCAGCTGTCTCCTGTCAGTAAAAGTGGCGGAAAAAACAGCTGTCATCGGTAGACAGTTGGCAGTATCTTGAGAAGCTGGTCCCGCGGGTATTTTATTCCGAACGTTTCTGTGCCTTCTCTGGCAGTTTAATTTTTTTTTTTTTTTTGTCCTCCTGTCTCTTTATTTGCTCTGCCTATTACCCCCGTTGTGTTTGCAAGAACTCTCGGTTAGTTGCTTCCCACTACCCCAATACACTTTTACCGTAGTTTAAAACATGCTGATCTTATATCAATCTATTATGAGCTTTTTTCGATCGAGGCAAAACGGTTCGACGACGATACGTTCTTCTAAAAAACAAACAAACTTAAAAACCTGCGAAATAAGTGGCAACAATTTATTACAAATAATTGTGAATACACAACTGAATAAAATGTAATTACACTTTATTTCTCCAAAGAACGAAGTTGATAAACTAAAAAGAACTTTAATTACAAATCATAATGAAAAAAAAATTGACACATGTTCCAGTGCATATGTTAGTACTTCGTTTGTCCTTTCCACGAAGTCGTTCCTTGCAGATTGAACACAGGTTCTCGATTGGATTTAAATCAGGAGAGTTTGCAGGCCAGACTATAGGATTTTGATTTGCTCACTGGTAAGGCTTGCCATTGTGTTCGTGCAGCGTTACAATTTTCGTACGCTTCCTTGGAGACAATGGACGTAGGACAACTAATCGACATTCGAGACAATAGTGTCTGGGCGTGATGAAAATCTGATGCAATCACGGATGGCACAATATTTTTTTCATCATACACCCCGAAAATAGATTCATATTAGTTTACACCACTGCAAATGTGCTGATCTGAGGAAAAAATAGAAATTCATTTTTTTGTTTATTGTTCTCTCATAATAGTGTTTTTTTCTCATAGTCTCCCTTGTACAAATTTAAATTTTATTACTCGCCGGTCAGTCAGTTGTGCGTCATGCGTGATACACGCTTAGGTAGATTTTTTCCCGTAGTAGGTTGTTATTTCTTTTTGCGGTAGACCAGTTGCCATCCAAGGATATAGAACCCGGTCTGTCATACTATTTATCCATAGCGAGAAGAAGAGAATTCATACCTTTCCCAATGGTATTAACACATAAGTGAATGTAATGGACTGACTAGAATTCGAACACGTCTCTCCGATTCCTCAATCCGAGCCGCTATCCATTACTCCACCTATGGCACCAAGCAATAATAACTAATGCTACACACTTTTTGCAAATTAATTGAAATAAAACGAATCATTTCATGTTAGTGCCTCGTATGTCCATTCCACATTTCCTTGCAGATTAACCAGCATGGCGGGTCTTGACCGTAATGGTTAGAACTGGTGTAAGTAAGAGATGTAATCCGTTTGAGCACATTCCATATAAATAGTGCTAGAGCAGCGAGTGGTTTGCACGGTGGAAAATATTTTGTCACCAACAAAGACGCGAAAACGCTTTTGAACTCTATCGTGGTTGGAAAGTGAAGACTGGAGAGCTCCTGCCAGTATATGGCAACAGTTATCCATTTTAGACTCTTGTAAAAGTCGAGGATATCAGGAGGAGCCAGTTTACTTACTGGAGAGGTACAGGGATCCGACCATTTTTCCAGCATCTTTAGTTTGAGGTCTGGGTTGGCTTTGTGCTAATAGATGCTCAGAGGCCTTTCTGAGGGAAAATTCGTTTATCGAGGGTGGTGATAATTCTGGGTCCGAAAATCGCTAAACGACACACCCATCTGCAAATTAATTGAAATAAAACGAATGATTCCATAATTATATACTTTTTCATATTTTTGACAGGGACCCAGTGCACATGTTAGTACTTTGTAGGTCCATTCCACGAAGTCGTTCCTTGCAGATTGACCACAGATTCTCGATTGGATTTAAATCAGGAGAATTTCCGGGCCAGACTATAGTACTTTGATTTGCTCACTGGTAAGGCTTGCCATTGTGTTCTTGCAGCGTTACAATTTTCGTACGTTTCCTTGGAATAACATCTATTCGAGACAATGGATGTAGGACAACTAATCGACATTCGAGACAATAGTGTTTGGGCGTGATGAAAATCTGATGCAATCACGGATGGCGCAATATTTTTTTCATCATACACCCCGAAAATAGATTCATATTAGTTTACACCACTGCAAATGAGCTGATCTGAGGAAAAAATAGAAATCGATAACACCCTGTTACTCTAAAACTGATCGTATGGAGAAAGAAAGGAAACCAGTATTTAATTGAATTTATTATTTTATAGTATTCTCAGCATCATTCTGTCGAAATAGATTTCTGTTGCTAAAAAAATACTTTGGTCTTTCCTCTTAATAATAAAAAACATTTTAATGAGAAAACTTTGTTTTTATTGAGTTTTAGCCTTTTTTCATCATGTCATGCTTTTTTTTACGCGACTAAGTGGAAGTTCCTAGTCTGTATGTAACTGTAAGTTCTTTGCTAACTGTTAGTTCTCACTTTTGAAACTCTGTTCTGCCTCTTGCTTTCCAGATATTCAAAAATTTAAATAAAATATCAATCGATATCTTCTAATTAATTCATGTTTTTGTTTATTGTTCTCTCATAATAGTGTGTTTTTCTCATAGTCTCTTACACACAGTGTCCCCTTACGTTTCAGTGGCTTTTGTCCTTGCGTTGATGAAATACTTAACGTAAATAGAGCACAAGTGTGTAGTTAAAAAACAGCCGCAGCTGAAATACGAACATGGTTTGATGGTTCCATTTTTAACTCTTTTCGTCACCATCTTTTTGGTCTTGGTGCTTGCATTATTTGGTTCCACCTCATGATTTTGATAAGTAAAAGTAAATGAAACTTTGATATAAAATGATTTAGTAACATTAGTCCATTACAAGGCTTTAATTAAATGTTACACCTTATTGACTGAATTACTTAAACAATATAAATTTTCATTTATTTATATGTGGATTCATTTTATATATATTCGTCGCTTTCATACCCCAAATTATTATATTCTTCTGTCCACAGTACTTTTGGGCAAGTGTCTGATTCACATTCGTCTATCACTTTGGGATGCGTCTCCTCAATGTCTGAGTCATCCAATGTATTGTTAGGATAATGTATCGATATATAAGAATTCGTAGAATAGCTATTGTCCAGTAAATCATTTCGGGAACTAAAATTGTAACCGGTATCGTTTTCACTTGTCTGGGGGGAGTATACTGCAAAAGTAAGAAAACAAACATTAAGTTAGAGATAGGTATTGTAAAGTTAATAGTAGACACAGAAAGAAAACTGGAGAACTCATCGAAAAAGGCGTTAAAGAAAAGAGCGAATAAAGGAATAAATATCAGTTGCAAGAAGACAGAAGCAGGTTGACCAACCCAGTATGCAAGCTACCAATTGGAGATGTCAAAATCTACCAAGATATAAAATATTCTCATATCCGTAATTAAACTGACGATTTTATTGCCTTACATGAACAGCGAGATATTTTTTTTTGTTAGGTACACTGGTTCAGTGTATCGTGCTAGACAATTTTCTCGACAGAAACTATCTTAAACATAAGTCTAACATTCGCCTCTGTATTGAATATTGTTGCCATATATGATCTTGTTTTTCTACTATGTATTTAGAAATTCTTAATGGTATACAGAAAATCTTCAATGATACTGATGTTGACCTGGAATCTCGGCTTAAGCGAATTTCTCACCGTTTCAAAGTAGCTTCCCTGTGAGGTGTCTATAAATATTTTCATGGTTCTTGATCTGATGAGCTTTCGTCTTTGATACCTAGACGTTAGGAATTTAAGTGAAGTACTGGATTAACGGCAAGGTCTCATCATCTTATATTTGAAATGTTTATATGTAACCATAAGATGCTAAAAATTTCTTCGCGCGCACTTCTTGCTTGTGGAAAAGCGCAGACATTTTATTAATGTTGCGCATTTCTTGCTTGTGGAACTCCCTTTTCAGTTTCTTGCTTTCCAGACAACGCAATGTCAATCGTTATCTTCTGTCTTCATAATTACTGTTCTTTTATTGTTTTCACTCCTTAATAATTTTTTTTTCTTTTTCTCATATTCTTTCACACCCAGTAAGCCCTTGTGTGTTAGTGGCATTAATGGTTTAAAAAAAAAATAAAATAAAATAAAAGCACTAGTGGGAAGTAAAAAAAAAAGCTGCAACTGCAATTCGAACATGTTTTGATGGTTCTATTTTCTGACTGGAGTAAGAAGATTTGAATTCTTACTTTTCCCAAGGTTATAAGTGTGCCGATAAATATTTAACTCTTTTCGACACCTTCTTTCTGATCTTGGCATTTGCATCATCTGGTACCACCTCATGATTTTGATAAGTAAAAGTAAATAAAACATTGATATAAAATGATTTACTAATATTCGTCCGTTACTATGTTTTAATTAAATGTCACATTGTATTGATTAAATTAGCTAAAGAATATAAATAATTTGTGCAGCTAATATAATAACTGTTAATTCACATTGTCCGAAACGCACAATACGACGACTTGTTTTATTTGTAACAAAAGATTTTAATAACAATAAATATACATATATTTAAATTGCACTGACATTTTTATAGTATTTCTTATTTTATTTTAATTTATTTTTAAATGTTAGTCTTCATCGTTTTTATCTGCAGAATTATCATTTCCTGCTGTCCACGGTACTTTTGGGCAAGTGTCTGGATCATATTCAGCTACAGTTTTGGGCACTCTGTCAGCAATGCTAGAATATTGATGTATACTATCAACTTCATTTATGGACATATAACTATGCGATATATTGTCTTCCATAGAATCGCTTTCGCACCGTAAATTATTGAAATGATTCATATTGGCTACTATACCAAGGTTATTAATGTCGTTCGTGGTTCCATGCGCGGTGGGTCCTGTAAAAGAAAGAAAGCAAACAATAGGTTATAAATTGATATTGTAAATTTGATGGTAGACACGGAAAGAAAACTACAGAAATTCATAGAAAAAAGCGGTAAAGAAAGGCGCAAATGAAGGACTAAACATCAGTTGCGAGAAGACAGAATATATGGTTCTCAGCAAGTGGAAAAGCCCAGTATACAAGCTATGAATTGGAGATTTCAAAATCAACCAAGATGAAAAATATTCTCATATCCGAAATTTGATAGCCGATTCATTTTTTTTTTGGGGGGGGGGTCTTGTTTTGTCTTAATATTTTAGATAAAAAAATAGAGTTTTAAAAAAAAATCGTGTATAAATAAGGGAAATGATTCATTGTTTGCAATTTTACAAAAAAAAATTCTTAAGAAACAAATTTAAACCATGTTAGTCTTTTGTTTCTAAGGTAAATATTTACTGTGCAAAAAATTATTCACTTTTTATACCGCATGTTGTGGATTCCGGGATGAAATTTTTTTTTTAACTGTAAGTCTAATTTTTCTCCCTCTTTCTGCTATCTCTCTAACTCTTTCACTCTCTCTGAACCGTTATTGGAGTCCTTTTTAAGGGCTCACCAAAGGGACGTTTTTGGCAGTTATTTTCAAGTTGTACCAGTGAACTTAAACATCAGACTATTTCCCCCCCCCTCATTTTATTTTTTTTCTTTTCCCTCAATAAATTTTATAGCTATTTCAAGTGGTTTTTCCTTTATCTCGCTTGTTATGGTTGCATATTGATGGTTTCAGGTCTCTGTTAACTGTGTTATGCGGGATTCCCATCATTGCACGTAATGACAAAGTTTCCCAACCTTTTTTGCGCCGAGTTTGGCTGTTACTAAGCTAAATTTCGACAAACATTGATAATTTTTCCAGAAAAGTAATCCTTAGATGACTTTGGCATAGACAAGATCACTAAAATAACAAATAAAATCTACAAGAGCGGGGAAGACTTCAGCAGATTTATTCATTTTTTTTATGGAAAAGTAATTTTTTATTTACTTTTCCATAAAAAAATGATGCGTGGCAGGGAGCATTGTCTTGCATAAAAATGAGATTTCATTGACTTTCGAGTTTTTACAGCAGTTGGCAGCAAGCAGGCGTCCATTTTTTTTAATATTCAGTTTTGTTCCGCGTTTTGTCTACTGGTTTAAAAAAAATACAGTTCCATTTAATGAGAAGCAACCTCGGACCAGAAAATTGACAGGATGTTTCACAGTATTAACTGTCATTTTCAAGGGGTTTTCTTCGCTCCTCCATCTGATTTTCGTTCTTTTGTCTTTTGAAAACATTTCAGTTTTTGTATTGTCGAAGAAAAAAAAAACATATTTCAAATCAGACTCAGTGAAGGACTTGTAAGTTTCTGCCCATTCTAAACGTTTAGCCATATTTGTTTTATTTAACAGTGGCTTAAAACATGTGAAGAGGCTTCGTTCAAGAGCTTTGACTAAATTAACTAAAGAATCTGAATAATTTGCACGTCCAAACTCATAACTGTTACTTCACACTATCAAAAACTCAAAATACGAAATCTTGTTTTATTTGTAAGATTTTTAGTAACTATAAATTATGTTTAAGTCTTCCTTTCAGTTTTTAGCGTACATGTCATTTTAAAATAATATTGCCTTCATCGCTTTTATCTACAGAATTATCAATTCACACAGCCCATAATACTTTTGTGTCTGGATTATATACAGTGCTGTTCGATAAAAGTGACTCACCTGATTTTTTTTACTAAAAATATTTTTGTCCATTGTTTTTGGGGTTAAAATAATTTTTAATCTTACTAATATAAAGACCCCTTCCCGACCACCTAGGAAAAAGTTTATTCACCCTAAGGTATTCTATTAATAATTATAAATTTGGATATAAATGGGATTGAGGAAAAAACTCTGTGCAAAAGAAGCGACTCAGATATCGCATTCTAATGATTAAACTGGTAAATTTAAAGAGCTTTTGAGAAAATATTGAAAACTATTTTACAATACACAAAGAACAATATTCTAGAACAGTAAATTAAATCTAGAGTATTCCAGAAAGCCTCATACAGTATAAAAACAGCTTGAAATAGCCACTCAAGTCACTAACCAGATCAAATGTTACAAAAACGCATCAGAACCACTTAAGGCATCTATTATTGCCCTCTCAAAAGCAGGCAAGTCTACGAGAGAAATTGCAGAAATTGCTATAACCTCGCAATCAACTGTCGCCTCGAGTGCTTAGGGCACATAAAGACGCCACTCCTGCTCCAAGGAAGAAAACAAGGGACGAAAGAAAAGATTGATGATAGAACTGGTAGGGTAATCAAGAGAGAAGTTGCGAAGAATAGGACAATAACTAGCCAAGAAATTGCAGCCAGTTTAAGCGAAGAGCAATGTGTTAGTCTTGCCTCTTCAACAGTCCGTCAGAACAAGGTTGCAAATCTTGTTAGAACAAGGCTACAAATCTTTTACACGAAGGTTTAAGCCGCTTATAAGCAAATCCAACAAAGCCAAGAGACTTGAATGGGCTCACTATTACAAAAATTTCACCGTAGAAGACTGGAAGAATGTTCTCTTCTCCGATGAAACGAAAGTTGAGCTAAATTCAAAGGATAAGGTGAGTCACTTTTATCGAACAGCACTGTACAAGTAACGCTTTAGGCGTCTTGTTCTCAATGTCAGAATCGGCATATATTCTATCAATGTCATGTACACACATATTAGCATTCAATGTATTGTCTTCAATAGAAAGAAATCGTATAGAAAAATATTGCTAGAACTAGTATTGGTTACATTACTGAGTTCATTAGCCTCGTTTTCATTTTCCTCAGTAGTGTTTCCTACAAAAGAAAGAAAACAAACTAAGTTACATACAGGTATTGTAAAGTTTATGGCAGACATAGAAAGAAAAACTGCTTGAACTCATAGAAAATGCGGTGAGGAAAAGCGTGAAGAAAGGACAACACCTAATTTGCAAATAGACAGAATGTATGGTTTTCAGAAGGATAATCTGCTCAGGAAGATAATCTGCTCAGGAGGCGAGCGACAAATTAGAGAAGCATGTACGAAAATGTAAATAATCTGGAAATGTTTCAGCAAATGATGAAAATGTGGCACCGAAATCTGAACACACCCTCGAATAGGGACTGATGCTTTCAAAAACTAAGCAATATATTAAGTTGCCACGCCTTAAATGACGAACTTTATAGGAAATGACTAAAACGCTTCTGAAATATTAAATAACTAATTGATTTACTTGAAATAGTAATTATTGACTGTTCTCCAACGTATCACTTAACTTCTTTAGGCCCATCTTTAAAATAATTTACATCCTTTGATGTGATAAAAAATTCACATGCTTCGATGACTTCTTCCTTATTGGATAATGTTTTATTGTGCATGATATTTATTAATTGATGGTAGAGCAAGTAGTTGAAGGGATAGTAAAAATTCAAACATTTCGAAGAGCTAAAATGTATAGGAAGCTGTGGAGAGCCATAATAAACGTACCTAATGAGCTTGTATAAATGGATATTAGAGCAGTGAGTGGAAAGAATAGTAAAAAGGCAAACATTGCTAAAAGCTATAAAGGATAGGAAGTTGTGGAGAGACTTGGTTTCCCACGTCCTGAGGAGGGGTCGGCACGTAGAAGGATTCTCCATAACTGATTTCAATCACAGGTCAGAACCGGTTAGATTGATTGTTAGCAGTCTTCACAGATGAGTTTTTCAACTTTAACGATCTCATTAGAAGTAACAATTTTAATAAATATCAAAGAAGGATATAATTCCAAAAAGTGACAAGTAGAATAGAGAAAAAAAACAGAGAGACGACGAAAAGTATAGACACAGTAAAATGCAATCATTCGCCTTTGCACGGAGTATTGCTGCCATATATGGTCAGGTGCCCCTTATGTTTGTCTCAAGGTTCTTGATAAGACCCAGAGACGAATATGCAACGTAATTGGCCCTGATCTGGCATCTTGTCTGCAGTCGCTCTCTCACAGACGTGCCGTCGCCATCTTTTTTACAAATACTTTCATGGTAACTGCTCCGAGGAGCTGCTTTCGCTGGTTCCCAGACTTCATGAATTTAAGCGTTCTACTAGGCTGGCATTTCACTCACGCCCTTTCACTGTTGAAACTGTTAAATGTAGCTATCTCTTCTACTCCAATAGCTTCATGTCTCGCACTTCTCGCCGTGGAACTCCCTCCCCTCTTCCTGTTTCCCTGATAGCTACAATCACCAACTATGCAAATGTAATGTCAATCGACGTCTCCAGATGCCCTGATCTATCTCCAATCTTACTCTTCATCCTTTCCTCTATCACTGCTATTTGCTCTAGCTCCAACTCTCTCTAACCCCCTTGCGTGCTAGTGTCTTCCGGGGTGAAATGCTTTAAAAAAAATACGAGAAGAAAAAAAAATATATATATATAGAATAATCTGACTAGTTTTTGTTCCTCTTTCACCAGGCATCAATCGAAGAAATTAAAACATTGTACACTTCTTTTATGTGCCGTGTCTCTTCAGTACGCAGGTGATCATGGCCCTTCACATCTTCCTATCCCTTGTAGCTCTTAATAAGTTTTGTTTTTTGTTATTTCTTTCAATTACTTGCTCAAGCCCATCAAGTATGTTACGCGCTGCTTTCGTCTGTCTCTCTTTCCCTCAAGCTGTCCTGTGAGTATCAGATTTTTCTAGCCCTCTTTCCTCATTAAGCGCCTCAGAAATTTCAACTGCCTCTTGCTGATGTTATGTATAAGTTTTCTTTTTGCTTTCATTCTCTCCAAAACCACATCGTTTCTCACATGTTCGGTCCATACTGTCCTCAGCATCTTTCTGTAGAACCACATTTCTGTTGCTTCAAGTCTCTTCTTCATCTGTGAGGAGATTGCCCTGCATTTATTGCCATATAAGTGAACAGATGTTACGTAACAATTCAGTACATTTTTCTTTGTTCCCCACAAAAATGTTCTGTCTCTTAATACTCTGCTTGGCGTTTGGAATATAATCTTCGGCCATCCCAATACGATCTCAGTGTACACACCATCTAAAAAAAAAGGTGAGCAAAAGTGGATAACTGGCAATAATATATTGATACTGGTTTATTTATAGACATATAACAGTGAGACCCACGGTACCGGGAGGTGGTGTAATGGTTAGCAAGCGTGTCTCGCTAGCACAATTACGACTGAGTAGTTAGTTCGAGCCTCACTGAGTACTCCATATTTTCGGCCTTGTGTAACATCTAAAACCTGACCATCATTCTTTTCGTTTACACAAAGATTGCTGTTTCATTTTAATAAAAAATATTCAAATGAAATTTGTAAGTGATAGTCGAGTTGCGACCTACTCAATACTGGGAAACTATCATCCGGGAAGTTCGATGCGCATTGCTAGTTGTTAACGAAAGTGTCTGAAATTACATACCCGGATGTGACGTTACCCTTATACAAATTTTTCATTCGGCTTTTGCTAATAAATGCCGGCTCGTGATTGGTAAATCCCGACACATGTCATTGGGTGGTCCTATCGATATAGTCAGCCTCGCTCTGACACATCAATAATAAATTACGGAATTTGTTTTAAAAATAGGTCGATAATCTTTACAAACAGATTTTAGCACTGGCCAAAAAGAGAACATGATATATGAATTTGCACAAGATGGGCAATATATCCACTAAGACGCAAGGGGGGAGGGGGGGTAACTTAATGGAAAAATATAAGAAAAGGAAAGACATTATTAAGTAGAGAGAGCAACAAAAGAACAAGAATTAAGTAGACAGAATATAACAATTGAAATTGCATTTAAATTTTTTGAGATCAAACTTTACTGGAGACAAAGAATCCGGAAGACAGTTCCACAAGCCAGAAGTGCGAGAAAAGAAGGTGTTAGCATAGAATTTATGGTTACAGATGGCATTTCAACAATAAAATGATTAGATCTTGCCGCAAGTCTAATAATCTTCATAGAATCTAAGTACCAAAACTTGACAAAATGAGCGATAGGTGAAATATGGTCTTCAATCTGTCGTATTTTAAACTAGTTAACCACAATTACTGACCCAAACAAATTACTGTATTTCTTACACCAAAAAAAAACACATTCTTACTTACTATTCTCATTACAATCATCATAATACCTCAAGTCTCTCTAACGTCCGAAATAGTTCCCATATGTACAAAGATAAAAGTTTATCAGAAGATTTAGCATGAACGTATTTATAAAAGATTAAGGTACAGGAAATTACTGTGGCGGGAAAAATGATTCTAATAATACTTTTGTGTCTGGATTATATACAGTGCTGTTCGATAAAAGTGACTCACCTGATTTTATTTTAATAAAAATATTTTTTGTCCATTGTTTTTGGGGTTAAAATAATTTTTAATCTTACTAATATAAAGACCCCTTCCCGACCACCTAGGAAAAAGTTTATTCACCCTAAGGTATTCTATTGATAATTATAAATTTGGATATAAATGGGATTGAGGAAAAAACTCTGTGCAAAAGAAGCGACTCAGATATCGCATTCTAATGATTAAACTGGTAAATTTAAAGAGCTTTTGAGAAAATATTGAAAACTATTTTACAATACACAAAGAACAATATTCTAGAGAATTCTAGAACAGTAAATTAAATCTAGAGTATTCCAGAAAGCCTCATACAGTATAAAAACAGCTTGAAATAGCCACTCAAGTCACTAACCAGATCAAATGTTACAAAAACGCATCAGAACCACTTAAGGCATCTATTATTGCCCTCTCAAAAGCAGGCAAGTCTACGAGAGAAATTGCAGAAATTGCTATAACCTCGCAATCAACTGTCGCCTCGAGTGCTTAGGGCACATAAAGACGCCACTCCTGCTCCAAGGAAGAAAACAAGGGGACGAAAGAAAAAGATTGATGATAGAACTGGTAGGGTAATCAAGAGAGAAGTTGCGAAGAATAGGACAATAACTAGCCAAGAAATTGCAGCCAGTTTAAGCGAAGAGCAATGTGTTAGTCTTGCCTCTTCAACAGTCCGTCAGAACAAGGTTGCAAATCTTGTTAGAACAAGGCTACAAATCTTTTACACGAAGGTTTAAGCCGCTTATAAGCAAATCCAACAAAGCCAAGAGACTTGAATGGGCTCACTATTACAAAAATTTCACCGTAGAAGACTGGAAGAATGTTCTCTTCTCCGATGAAACGAAAGTTGAGCTAAATTCAAAGGATAAGGTGAGTCACTTTTATCGAACAGCACTGTACAAGTAACGCTTTAGGCGTCTTGTTCTCAATGTCAGAATCGGCATATATTCTATCAATGTCATGTACACACATATTAGCATTCAATGTATTGTCTTCAATAGAAAGAAATCGTATAGAAAAATATTGCTAGAACTAGTATTGGTTACATTACCGAGTTCATTAGCCTCGTTTTCATTTTCCTCAGTAGTGTTTCCTACAAAAGAAAGAAAACAAACTAAGTTACATACAGGTATTGTAAAGTTTATGGCAGACATAGAAAGAAAACTGCTTGAACTCATAGAAAAATGCGGTGAGGAAAAGCGTGAAGAAAGGACAACACCTAATTTGCAAATAGACAGAATGTATGGTTTTCAGAAGGATAATCTGCTCAGGAAGATAATCTGCTCAGGAAGATAATCTGCTCAGGAGGCGAGCGACAAATTAGAGAAGCATGTACGAAAATGTAAATAATCTGGAAATGTTTCAGCAAATGATGAAAATGTGGCACCGAAATCCGAACACACCCTCGAATAGGGACTGATGCTTTCAAAAACTAAGCAATATATTAAGTTGCCACGCCTTAAATGACGAACTTTATAGGAAATGACTAAAACGCTTCTGAAATATTAAATAACTAATTGATTTACTTGAAATAGTAATTATTGACTGTTCTCCAACGTATCACTTAACTTCTTTAGGCCCATCTTTAAAATAATTTACATCCTTTGATGTGATAAAAAATTCACATGCTTCGATGACTTCTTCCTTATTGGATAATGTTTTATTGTGCATGATATTTATTAATTGATGGTAGAGCAAGTAGTTGAAGGGATATTAAAAATTCAAACATTTCGAAGAGCTAAAATGTATAGGAAGCTGTGGAGAGCCATAATAAACGTACCTAATGAAAACGTACGTAATTAAAAAAAATACGAAGAATATATATATATATATATATATATATATATATAGAATAATCTGACCAGTTTTCGTTCCTCTTTCACCAGGCATCAATCGAAGAAATTAAAACATTGTACACTTCTTTTATGTGCCGTGCCTCTTCAGTACGCAGGTGATCATGGCCCTTCACATCTTCCTATCCCTTGTAGCTCTTAATAAGTTTTGTTTTTTGTTATTTCTTTCAATTACTTGCTCAAGCCCATCAAGTATGTTACGCGCTGCTTTCGTCTGTCCCTCTTTCCCTCAAGCTGTCCTGTGAGTATCAGATTTTCCTAGCCCTCTTTCCTCATTAAGCGCCCCAGAAATTTCAACTGCCTCTTGCTGATGTTAAGTATAAGTTTTCTTTTTGCTTTCATTCTCTCCAAAACCACATCGTTTCTCACATGTTCGGTCCATACTGTCCTCAGCATCTTTCTGTAGAACCACATTTCTGTTGCTTCAAGTCTCTTCTTCATCTTTGAGAAGATTGCCCAGCATTTATTGCCATATAAGTGAACAGATGTTACGTAACAATTCAGTACATTTTTCTTTGTTCCCCACAAAAATGTTCTGTCTCTTAATACTCTGCTTGGCGTTTGGAATATAATCTTCGGCCATCCCAATACGATCTCAGTGTACACATCATCTAAAAAAAAAAAAGATGAGCAAAGGTGGATAACTGGCAATAATATATTGACACTGGTTTATTTATAGACATATCACAGTGAGACCCCGGGTACCGGGAGGTGGTGTAATGGTTAACAAGCGTGTCTCGCTAGCACAATTACGACTGAGTAGTGAGTTCGAGCCTCACTGAGTACTGCATATTTTCCCGGAAGTTCGATACGCATTACTAGTTGTTAACGAAAGTGTCTGAAATTACATACCCGTATGTAACGTTACACTTATACAAATTTTTCATTCGGCTTTTGCTAATAAATGCCGGCTCGTGATTGGTAAATCCCGACTCTTGTCATTGGGTGGCCCTACCGATATAGTCAGCCTCGCACTGACACATCAATAATAAATTACGGAATTTGTTTTAAAAATAGGTCGATAATCTTTACAAACAGATTTTAGCACTGGCCAAAAAGAGAACATGATATGTGAATTTGTCACAAAATAATATTTCCCAAGACTTGTAGAGATTTCTTTTGAAATGTCCTATCAACCATCAATGGCTGTCTTAAATATACAGAATATTTTTCAGAACCAAATCTTTTCCTTTATAGAACTGTTAAATCGAATATTTGATTGCACTATGTCAAAAAGATACTCATTGGCACAAAAGACTTTCTTAATTAATTCTAATTACTGTTATTTGTAATAATTTCTGCACAAGCTGGGCAATATATCCACTAAGACGCAAGGTGGCGGGGGGTAACTTAATGGAAAAAACATAAGAAAAAGAAAGACATTATTAAGTAGAGAGAGCAACAAAAGAACAAAAATTAAGTAGACAGAATATAACAATTGAAATTGCATTTAAATTTTTTGAGATCAAACTTTACTGGAGACAAAGAATCCGGAAGACAGTTCCACAAGCCAGAAGTGCGAGAAAAGAAGGTGTTAGCATAGAATTTATGGTTACATATGGCATTTCAACAACGAAATGATTAGATCTTGCCGCAAGTCTAATAATCTTCATAGAATCTAAGTACCAAAACGTGACACAAGGAGCGATAGGGGAAATATGGTCTTCAATCTGTCTTATTTTAAACTAGTTAACCACAATTACTGACCCAAACAAATTACTGTATTTCTTACACCAAAAAAAAAATACATTCTTACTTACCATTCTCATTACAATCATCATAATACCTCAAGTCTCTCTAACGTCCGAAATAGTTCCCATATGTACAAAGATAAAAGTTTATCAGAAGAATTAGCATGAAAGTATTTATAAAAGATAATGGTACAGGAAATTACTGTGGCGGGAAAAATGATTCTTCTTTGGATTTTATTAAGGATCTCTTAATATATCGTAGAAGCGTCAGACCAGGTGTGACAGCAATATTCAAATCGTTGACGTTTGGTAGATTTATAAATATATAAGATATATTCTGGCGAGAAAAACTTTCTAGTACGACACAATGAACCAAATTTCTTAGCAACTAACCCAATATTACCTTTCCACTACATGTCAGCGGAAAACATTTAGCCAGAGAAAACGCAACGAAACACTCACATGAAGGTTAGCATCAGCTATACTCCTGAAAGGCGCAAAGATTTCTCTCAGAGGATTAACAGAGAGCAGATTTGTTTACGAACAAGTCATAAATTTATGATAATCTAAGATATTCATAAGATGAATTTTAAGCTGCATCGAACAATATGATTCTGGTTAGATAATCCAGGAAAAAGTAAACATTTTCATAAGATTTAAAGAATTATTTCCAAAACATTTGTTCTTTTTTTTCACCGCCTATCAAAATTTTGCAAATTCTTTACATTTTAAAGATTGTAAGACTATTTTCTGGATAACAATGATTTACTGATACAAATCTTACTAATTAACCCATGGAAGAGGGGAAATCTTACGTTTCTAAATGGCATTTAAACGTAAGTAAATATAATGAAACCAACTTTAATTGGAACTCTGCTATTCGTGATCCAATACTGAGTCGTTATCATTTACAGAAACCGAAAGTTGCCATCAGATATCTTTTTGCAGGCCCAGCAGTATAAATTTGTACAGCTAGGCTGACATGAAAAGCATCCAGTATTGGCTAATTGAAAGGGTGTCGTCTTCCATCTAGACAACACCAGACCATATGTGACTTTGCAGACACAGAAGAAATTAGTATCTCTTGGATGACATGAAAAGCATCCAGAATTACCCAACCGGAAGAGTGCCGTCTTCCATCAGGACAACACCAGACCTCATGCCCTTTGCACACGCAAGAGAAATTGGTAAAGCTTGGTTGACATTAAAAGCATCCGGATTTGACCAATTGTAAGGATGTCGTATACTATCAGGACCACACGAAACTCATGTGCTTTTTCACACCCATCAAAAATTTGTACAGATTTGCTGACATGCAAGACACCCGGGATTGTCCAACTTGAAGTGTGTTGTCCCATCAGTACAAGAACAGAACTCGTGTGTTTTTGTAGAACCAGTAGAAAATGATACAGCTTGTCTGACATGAAAAGCATCTGGAATTCGCCAGTTGGAAGGGCCTTGTCTTCCATCACAACACCAGTTCTCATGTTCTTTCGTAGTCCCAGCAGAAATTCGTACGGCTTGGCTGATATGACAAGCATCCAGCTGGTCCAATCCGAAGGGTTTTTCTTCTTTCAGGACAACATCAAACCTTATATCTTTTTACAAACCCAGCAGAAATTAGAACAGCTGCCATGAAAAGCATCAAGAATTGGCCAATCGGAAGGGCGTTGTCTTCCATTAGGACAACACCAGAACTCAAGTTTTTTCGCAGTCTCCGTTCATCTGAATGTTCTATATTCCTCGTTCCCATTTAACCTTACATTTTCAGAATACTTCCTGTTTATGTTCGGGCAAATCTCCCTTAATAGGCAGTGATTAAATTCTATGGGAGCCTGTATTAATCACTTTGACCATTTCATAACACAGAAACATTCAAAGTTCTGTGAGGAGGGAATCGTGTATCATGTAACGAATGTTAGTGGAATGAAATGGCACATGTGTGGTAGAAATAAATATGTGTACATATATGTACGAATACTATCTTTAATACTTAGTTAAAAACCGACCTTTTTTCTCAAAGATGATGAAAGTGATGTAATAACTGAACCGACTGAAAATATTATGTACAAATATGTATATATATTGCCTTTGAAATCCACTCATAAATACTAGGAACTTTTGTTCTAACTCAATTGAAAGGAGTTATCAGGTTTAGAAATTAACAGTAGCGTTAATTATGTAATGTTTAAAAGAATTATTTAAACACAATAGTAATACAACTGAAGACGTAATTGTAAAAAGAGGTAATCTTGACTTTTGTATTTAAATCAAAAGTTTTTAGCTCTAATGTAAGTGACTTTTTAATCATCGATTCTGACGACAAGAAAAAAATTCGAATTTTATACTTACGTGAAATCTTGCAGAATACTATGATTAAAACCAACAGTATTATTAAAAGAAAAACAAATCCAATAAGGGGAGGGATGTAATTCTCTCTGTAAGATAAAATAAAATATTTGCTTAAATTATACAATAATTTGAGGAAATTTCGTAAATTATACGAAGCAATATATATATATATAATTTGAGGAAATTTCGTAAATTATACGAAGCAAAATTATATGAAGTAAATTATATATATATATATATATATATATATATATATATATAAGCATTTCACCCCTACCAAGCCGAGAAGCCACTAGCAGGCAAGGGATTACAGAAGATTTGGAGCGAGAGCAGATAGGAGTGATAGAGGAAAGGATGAGGAGAAGGATAATGGATAGATCAAGGCAACTGGAGATGTCGATTGACATTACATTTGAATAGTTGGAGATTATAGCTATCAGGGAAACAGGAACAAGCAAGAGAGTTCCACAGGTGAGAGGTGCGAGATATGATGCTATTGGAGTAGAAAAAGCTGCTATATTTAACAGTTTCAACAGTGAAAGGGCGAGAGCGGGATGCCAGCCTCGTAGGACGCTTGAATTCGCGAAGTCTGGGAACCAGGGAAAGCAGATCATCGGAGCAATTACCATGAAAGTATTTGTAAAAAAGACAGAGAGATGCGACGGCGCGTCTGTGAGAGAGCGACTGCAGACGAGATGCCAGATCGGGGCCAATTATATTGCATATCCGCCTCTGGATCTTATCAAGAACCCCGAGGCAAACAGTTGAAGTAAAATAGAAAATTTAGTTTCTACAATTATTAATTTTTAATATCACTTCATCTTAATTGCACTTGTTTTCATCGAAACTAATTCAGGCCGGCTAGATCAGGGGTCGGCATCTTTTGGAGAGAGGGGGACAGTAAGATATGCAGTTGGAGGGCCATGATATGAAATGTCCTATAATAAATGTCCTATGATTGATTGTCTCGATCTCAGACCACTTAATCCAGAAAGCTGCCCTGGTCTGGAAGTTTAAAGAAAACACAACGAATCTAATGTTATATTATTTAAACAAGGTTCCTTTTTTTACTGCAGGAATAACAAAATAACTAATACTATCAATAAAAATGCAAATTTCTTACTACAAACGAAATACACATGAGAAATAGCAAATTATTTAATGGGACACTTGTTTCAATTTATCGTTCGAAAACTTCTCCTCATCAGGTGGAGTATTTTTCGACGACAGAAGCAAAACGTCATTCACGTGATCATCACCCAAACTTGTTCTTAAACGACTATTAGTATATTTCATTTTCGAAAAATGTTATTCACAAGCATATATACTTCCAAATAATTCTTATCTCTATCTATAAAATGCAGGATGTGTGTGTGTGTGTGTGTGTGTGTGTGTGTGTGTGTGTGTGTGTGTGTGTGTGTGTGTGTGTAACGAATGCACGGCCGCAATTTTCGACGGATTTGCACCAACATTTACATGCACATGCTCCAAGTTAGCGGAAAGGCCAAAACCGATATTGTATTTCCCAACTTTCATCGATAGTGGAAATAATCGATTTTTTCATGCTTCTACGGCAGTTTTCATGTAATTTGCGGCCATTTTCTACTGGCCAGAGTGAGAGCCACAGGTGGCTGCCACGAATAGGAAGGAAGATTCTATTGGCCAGCGTAAGAGCCAACAGCTGGCTGACACAAATGTTAACTAGCATGCTAGCATGCAAAAAAAATCGATAGCTGCATTCGTCACAAGTGGGAAAAATTTAAATCTGCATGGCACTTTACTCCAATTGGCTCATTCGCTTGCTTAAACTCAACGTTGATTCTGATTCCACAGAACTGGGTTGGGTGTGAAAAAGTTATTTTTGTTAACATGCTTTTTTCATTCGGTTTTTCCAGTTACGAGTCCGTTTTTAAAGCTGGTTGTTTTGTGTTCATTTTGTTTAATTCTTTTTTCGTAACAGATTTAATGTTTAGTATAGAGCCTAGAAAAAATTCGCAATGTGAGATAGGCAAGAAGTAAGGCATGTAGCAACATCAGCACGGCAAAAGGCACTCCTTTAAAGGCAAGGAAGGGCAAAAATACTTTAAGTCAAGTGATAGCGATTGCTGTATAATTTTTGAATCAAGCACGGGCAACGCCGGGCCATGCTGCTAGTTTCAAATTTGAACGTAAGTAAATATAACGAAGCCAACTGGAATTGGAACTCGGATCTTCGAGATCAAATAATGATTCGTTATCATTTACAGAAACCTGAAAGGCGCTGTCTTCTATGAGGACGATATCAGATATGCTTTTTCCAGACCCAACAGAAATTGGTAGACTAAAATTTAATGAATACTTCTAGTGAATATAAATCTATTGAATATAACATGAAAAAATCTTAGTCAAAAATAAATAATGCTTGACAGTGCTTCATCTAATAAAAATTCCAGATAGTATTATTACTGATAATATTACAGATAGAAATAAAGTAATTGAATTCAAAATAAAAGAAATGTTATTAAAAAGATTAATAATTGTTGAAAATGCTTAATTAATAAAATTTCATGATAATATTATTACTACTAATATACTAGTGAAAATAAAGCAATTTAAATGAAGATGAAAGAACTATTAGCTGAAACTTAATTGGATAAAAAAGGTTCACGTATTAACAGGTGGTGATAAATAGAGAATGATAAGATGGATTATAACTGTCTATATTTCTGAGATTAAGTGTTGTAATTATTTATAATATTTACATTGTTTGGGTTGTGCTCATCTATTTTTTTTAATACCCTATTCAAGACGTTTCGACCGTTGTACGCTCCGGTGTTTTTCAGGATCTGTCTATATTTCTGAGATGTGGTATTGTAATTATCTACACAATTTGCATTGTTCGGACTGTTATCGCCATCTTTGTTGCCATATTCACAGACGACACATGGCCCAGTGGATAAAAGCGTTGGTTGAATCCAGTGGACTTGACCCAAACAGTTGTAGGTTCAATACCTGGTTGCAGAGGTGAACCAAAACCTGGAGATTTGAGTTTAAGGGAAATAAATGATATTGGCCCATGGAGCTAGAGCAGTCTACAAGAGTTCAGTTCGAAATTCCAGTCGCCTGAAGAAGGCCGGAGTGTGTAATGGCAAAAACGGTAGCCGTAGAAAATTGATTAAGAAAAATACTAAAATTTATTTCAAATATTTTTTTCCAAAGTACTTTCAGTCGAAACTATATATATATATATATATATGTGTGTGTGTGTGTGTGTGTGTGTGTGTGTGTGTACAACCAGTTAGATCAGGGCTACAGGAATGTAGGACGCCCATGGCTAAGATACAAAGACAAGCCGAAGAGCAACTTGTCAGCTGTCAATATACCACATACCACCTTTGAGCGCTTAGCCTTGGAGCGGGTAGAATGCAGATCAACGTGTTTTAGTGGACTCAGCAGTTTTCAATCTGCTTGTTTGAATCTTCTTCAAGAAGCGAGAGCAAGATCTAAAAGGTCAGCCAATCTAACAGTCATTTCATCTCACAGTCCCCACTCTTGCTCCATATGCTGCCTCCTTTGTAAATCGCTAGCGGGTCTTAAGTGCCGCTTAAGATTATCGCCCCAAATTTCATAACTGAATCAATTAATCTTTCAGATTCTCATACGCCGAAACCGAATCCATTATATATATATATATATATATATATATATATATATATATATATATATATATATATATTGTTTAATTTTATGTATCAACAAACGATATTTAGACAAATAATATAACAAATTGGAAGAAAACGTTTTTGTGAGGCGTTTCATCCGTTAGGATTTCATCGGAATGGGCTTTGTTGAATTCATCTGTATACTTTTTCTCTCCATCCCCTTTGTCCTTCACTATACCGCATTATCACAACAAAAAATCTACCCTAAATAGTGATATATTGTAAGATCCCAGATGCAAAATGCCTTGATCGCAAGATCAGCGACGATAAATTTGCCTCCAGGCTCTTACAATATTCTTTCAAAACAAAATTTTAAAACTACCAGCAGCTCCCGTTTCGTGCGCATATTTAGACGTGACAACATCAACGAAGCCCAGTCCTATGGAATCTAATTGATTAAACGGATCGCAAAACTTTTTTTTCCAACTATTTTCTACACACACACACACACATATATATATATATATATATATATATATATATATATATATATATATTGTCAACCACAAAGTGTTTCGCTGTATCACAGCTCAGCAGTATGGATAGACATCCGATTACCTCAAGCCAGCCGGGATGGAGACCCAACTGATTTGGCATCAGTCGGAAATTTTACCACTAAGCTGTCGGCGCCGTGCAGAAAGGGAGGTGAATTTTTACGTATTTATTTTTTGAATAAACACGCCAGTGACCGAGAGGGCTCAATTCATAGATGAGCTTTGCCTTATCAGCAATTTACATATTCGCGCTTTCTCTCCAGCATGCTCGTCCGAAATTAATTTTCCGGCGATATATATATATATATATATACTTTTACAGACTTTGGGGCCAGGTTCCTAACACCTAAAGGACAAAAGTCCATATAAGCATGTACGCAAATTCAAAGTTTTTCAAGTTATTTGAGTTATTAAATTTAAAGTAGGTTTACCGTAGATGACACTGTGTTGCCATGTAGACGAGGTTATATTTGTTATTCGTGTTCATTTGTGGCTAATCTGTCTTCAATGTTTAACGTGTTTAGTAGTGTGTTAACCTCAATGGCAGGTTATTCATATCGTGAGCAGGCAAATATGATTTTTAAATACGGCCGCGCGAATGGTAATGAACGCGAGGCTGCACGGCTGTATTAGATTGCTGATACACTATCCATGGGACCACAAACTATAGATCGAGGAAGACCGAGATAGGCTCGTTATCCTGACCACGAAGAATGCATTCTGCAAGCCGTCGGTGGCGATGCATGTATTAGCATACGTCAAGTGGTCCTCACATGTAGTACACCTGTACATGAATTTCTGTGTTGAGGATTCAATGATGGCCTTTTGGACATATGTCTATATGGACATTTACACTTGTTATGATTTCAGGAACCCGTCCCTAATGTTTACAGTAGATGGCACTGTGTTTCCGAGTAGACGAGCTTACATTTGTCATTCGTGTTGATTTGTGGTTAATCTGTCTTTAACGTTTAACGTATACAGTAGTGACTTAAGTGAGAGGTGTTCTGTTTAACAATGGCAGGATGTTCATCTTGTGAGAAGGCAGATGTGTTTTTTTTGTGTTTTTTTTTGTTTGTTTTTTTTGTTTGTTTTTTTGCACGGTCGCGCGAATGGCAATGGATGCGAGGTTACACGGCTGTATCACATTGCGTATCAGATTCTTAATTAGATTAGAAATTTTTAAATGATTGGGAAATGGAGAATTGTATTTGTGTCTTTTAACAACTAGAATTTTCCTTACATTATTTAGTTTTGTTGAAGTTATCGCTAACATTTTTGACGAGATTTACAAACACTACGTTTCGTTCAATTTCGCATACCAATCGATAAAATTTGAATAAGCTGAATTGTTTGGAAGAATACTTTAACAAAAGCCCTACTTCGCGGTTTTTATGCACCCTAGTAAGACCAAATTTACTTTGTACCTCCTTGCCTATTTCCACTTCTTCCCAAAATTTTATTTCGATCGGTCAATATTTAGCTATGTAAGTGACATAAAATGTATGATGTACGTATGGACGGACTAACAGAAGTCACAGAATTTTATATATAGATACTAAAAGAGACAACCACCAGATTCTGAAGATGTTTCTAAGATTGGGATTTCAGAACAATATATTCTGCAACTGAATTTGTTCCCATCAAAGAATAATGAAAAAGTATTTTTTTTTACTTACGTCACAGATTCAGAATCCGCAGCCATTGTACATTCGGAACACCTCTTTTGATTTGGACACTTCAAAGGCGGAACGTTGATTTTTCCGGTGTCAAGAATCAATCCCGAGGTCTGGGACCATTTTCCAATCTGTGAAATAATCAATATTTGTTTCCTTAAAAATGCAAAAGATTTATAGCACATGGCTTAAAATGGGGGTAAGTGTGGGTTGTTCCCGTCTTTTAATTAAGCTAGTAATAATTACTAACCCATTCGCACGAATATTTTCCTCTCATTTCACATTTTCTCGATACCGCAATTTCTCGATACCGCAATTTATCAATTCCTAAATAGTACCATATATATATATATATATAATAAAAAGGCTTAAACACTAATATTCCATGGTCATAATTTATTCCATTGGAATCGTAAATACGATCCAATTCATCAGACCTACAAATTCAAAAAGAAAACACAAAGCAACTCCGGAAATAAAAATAGAATTTAGAGAGAGTGTAAGTATGAGAGTGTGGGACGAATGTTAGTGTTAAAGAGAGGGGTAACATACGAGAGAAGGTGGGAGATTAAAACTTAACAGAGAGGGGTTTTTTTAATAGAGGTGGGTGGAAGGGGGAAATATGAATGTTGTCGGATGTCTAATACATTAAAGATACATTTCGTGGTGACATACACACACCATAGACGATCTAATGTTAAAGATCAGAATAAGAGGGAGGGAGAGAAAAGGAAAGAAGCGGTGGGGGAGAGAGATGGGGCGGGGAAAACTAAATCTGAAGGGTATTTACTGAAAGGGCCGCTGTGTAATTGAGAAAATTTGACAAAATTAATATCGACTACAGGTTACAAATCAAATATAAACATATAAAGAATAAATATAACGATTATCTAATCTAGCAAGGACCTATATTTTTATGTTCAAAAACACATGCGAATACACACATACACAATAACATATACACGTATATAGATGCACATAGGCGTGTACCCACATACACACATACATATACCCATGTACACACATACACATATATCCACATATTCACACAAATACACACATACACATACATACACACACATATACATATATATATATATATATACATTTACACATATACATATATCTGATTCAATATGTTAGCCCTATCGTTGATACTGAGCGCTTTCTAATAAGTACCGCGCATATAATATGCAAATACTTACACCTACATATATACCTATACATATACATACATACACATACATATACACATATATACATACACATATATATATAAACATATATAGATATATCCACCTATATCCATATACACACACTTTCCACATACATATACATAAGTACATACACATGCACACATATACACATATATATACACGTATATATATATATATATATATATATATATATATATATATATATATATATATATATATATACATACATACAAAAATACACAAACACATACATACATATACACACATACATACATACGCGTCCAGTCCTTACACATTTACCACCATATATACATACCATTAGAAAATTTCCAAAATCGTGCAAATTAATAGTAATGTCAATCACTCACGCAAATACTCACACATGTATATGCTTGTGTCTATGTTTATTAGATGGGCATTGTAACTATTTACACTATTTACGTTATTTGGACTGTTGTTCTCATCTTTAGTGTCATGTTCACAACCATTGTATGCTCCGGCCTTCTTCAGATGATATATGTTGGAATTTTCAAATCTTTATTTAGTCCACCGGAGTAGACTATTCCAGTTCCACGTGCCATGCCTTCTCTGGGTAACTCAGTTTTATTAATTTCGCTTTATTAACTCAATTTTCCAAGTTTTTGTTCACCTCTGCTGTGGCTGAACTCACAACTCTTTGGGTCAAGTCACTGAATTATTTCAGCTAACACTTTTATCCACGGGGTTATGTGTCCCTGGACGAAATAATGGGTTCGGTTCGAAATTCCAAAGTATATAACCTGAAGAAGGCCGGAACGTACAACGGCTGAAACGTTGTGGATATGACAATAAAGATAACGGCAACAGTCCAAACAATGTAAATAGTGTAAAAAGTTTTTTTTTTTTTCAGAGAAAATATTATGGAATACAGTTATTTAATGGTGAGAGATTTAAAGATTAAAATAAATAGCAGTGAATAAAGCAAAAGAGGGCGATTAGCTTACATTTTTGGCGTCAAAAGCAGTGCTACCCAAAAATGAGGTACGCGAATCAACGTCTACCCGTACCCGGAGATTTTTCAGGAAACAAATGAAGAGTAGTAACATTCCAGGCTACTGGTGACTGATTCAGGAGGCTGATTAAGTAGACATAACTGTTCCAATAGCACGGTTTAGTTAGGATGATTCATTCGTCAATAAAGTTGTTTCCCAGTATTTATGATACGACCTTATCTATCTATCTATCTATCTATCTATCTATCTATCGATCGTTTTATTATGTGTTATATATTTGCACCATTTAACTGGCACCCATGATTAGTAGTTAGGGTCATTAGAATTAGTCCCCATCCTAATCTATCTATCTATCTGTCTGTCTGTCTGTTATATTTTATATATTAGTGTTCCCCAGTTAACTGCCACCTATGTTTAGTAGTTAGGGTCATTATATTTGCTTCCAAGAATCGGAAATTATTTATGAGTCATCCTAATCTATCTATCTATCTATCTACCTATCTATCTATCTATCTGGCTGTCCACCTGTCTGCCTGTTATATGTCATATGTTTATGTGCCCCAGTTAACTGCCACCTATGTTTAGTAGTTACAGTCATTACAATTGCTTCCAACAATCAGAATTTATTGATGACTCATCCTAATCTATCTATCTATCTATCTATCTATCTATCTATCTATCTATCTATCTATCTGTCTGTCTGTCCACCTGTCTGTCTGTTATATGTAAAATGTTAGTGTACTCCAGTTGACTGCCACCTATGTTTAGTAGTTAGGGTCATTACAATTGGTTCCAAGAATCGGAAATTATTTATGACTCATCCTAATCTGTATACCTATCTATCTATCTACCTATCTATCTGTCCCCCTGTCTGTCTGTTATATGTTATATGTTAGTGTGCTCCAGTTAATTGCCACCTATGTTTAGTAGTTAGGGTCATTATATTTGCTTCCAAGAATCGGAAATCATTCATGACTCATCCTAATCTATCTATCTATCTATCTATCTATCTATCTATCTATCTATCTATCTATCTATCTGTCTGTCTGTTATATGTTATATGTTAGTGTGCTCCAGTTAATTGCCACCTATGTTTAGTAGTTAGGGTCATTATATTTGCTTCCAAGAATCGGAAAATATTTTTGAGTCATCCCAATCTATCTATCTATCTCTCTATCTGACTGTCTGTTATATGTTATATGTCCACATGTGATTGACTACCACCTATGTTTAGTAGTTAGGGTTATTACAATTGGTTGCAAGAATCGAAAATTATTTATAACTAATCCTAATGTATCTATCTATATCTATCTATCTATCTATCTATCTATCTGTTATATGTTATATGTTAGTGTGCCCCAGTTAACTGCCACCTATGTTTAGTAGTTAGAGTCATTACAATTGCTTCCAACAATCAGAATTTATTGATGACTCATCCTAATCTGTGTACCTATCTATCTATCTATCTATCTATCTGTCCCCTGTCTGTCTGTTATAGTTAAAATGTTAGTGTGCTCCAGTTAATTGCCACCTATGTTTAGTAGTTAGGGCATTACATTTGCTTCCATGAATCGGAAATTATTTATGAGTCATCCTAATCTATCTATCTATCTATCTATCTATCTGTCTGTCTGTCTGTCCACATGTCTGTCTGCCACCTATGTTTAGAAGTTAGGGTCATTACAATTGGTCCTGGTATAAATGTTATATGTTAATCTGTGTATCTATCTATCTATCTATCTATCTGTCCCCCTGTCTCCTGTTATAGTTAGTTAGGTTATATGTTAGTTGGTTATATGTTTAGTAGTTAGGGTCATAACAATTGGTTCCAAGAATCGGAAATTATTCATGACTCATCCTAATCTATCTATCTATCTATCTATCTATCTATCTATCTCCCTGTCTGTTATAAGTTATGTTAGTGTGCCCTAGTTAACTGCCACCTATGTTTAGTAGTTAGGGTCATTACAATTGGTTCCATGAATCAGAAATTATTTATGACTCATCCTAATCAATCTATCTATCTATCTTTCTATCTATCTATCTATCTATCTATCTATGTATCTGTCCCTCTGTCTGTCCGTTATATGTTATATGTTAGTGTGCTCCAGTTAATTGCCTCCTATGATTAGTAGTTAGGGTCATTACAATTGGTTATCGGAAATTATTGATGACCCATCCTAATCTATCTATCTATCTATCTATCTATCTATCTATCTATCTATATATCTGTCCATCTGTCTGTCTGTTATATCTCATATGTTAGTGTGCACCAGTTAATTGCCACCTATGTATAGTAGTTAGGATCATTACAATTCTTTCCAAAAATAGGAAATTATTTATGAGTCATCCTAATCTATCTATCTATCTATCTATCTATCTATCTATCTATCTATCTGTCTGTCTGTCTGTCTGTCTGTTATATGTTATATGTTAGTGTGCTCCAGTTAATTGCCACCTATGTTTAGTAGTTAGGGTCATTACAATTGGTTCCAAGAATCGGAAATTATTTATGACTCATCCTAATCTATCTGTCTCTCTATCTATCTACCTATGTATCTGTTCCTCTGTCTGTCTGTTATATGCTATATGTTAGTGTGCCCCAGTTGACTACCAAATATGTTTAGTAGTTAGGGTTATTACAATTGGTTCCAAGAATCGAAAATCATTCATGACTAATCCTAATCTATTTCTCTATCTATCTATCTATCTATCTATTTATCTATCTATCTATCTGTCCCTCTGTCTGCCTGTTATATGTTATATGTTAGTGTGCCCCAGTTAACTGCCACCTATGTTTAGTTGTTAGGGTCATTACAATTTGTTCCAACAATCGGAAATTATTGATGACTCATCCTAATCTATCTATCTATGTATCTATCTATCTATATATCTATCTATTTGCCCCTCTGTCTGTCTGTTATATGTTATATGTTAGTGTGCCCTAGTTAACTGCCACCTATGTTTAGCAGTTAGGGTCATTACAATTGGATTCAACAATCAGAAATTATTGATGACTCATCCTAATCTATCTATCTATCTATCTATCTATCTATCTAAATATCTATCTATATATCTGTCCCTCTGTCTGTCTGTTATATGTTATATGTTAGTGTGCCCCAGTTAACTGCCACTTATGTTTAGTAGTTAGTGTCATTACAATTGTTTCCAAGAATCGGAAATTTTTTATGACTTATCCTAATCTATCTATCTATCTATCTATCTATCTATCTATCTATCTATCTGTGTGTCTCTCCCTCTGTCTGTCTGTTATATGTTAGTGTGCCCCAGTTAACTGCCACCTATGTTTAGTTGTTAGGGTCCTTACAATTTGTTTGAAGCATCGGAAATTTTTCATGACTCAACCTAATCTATCTATCTAGCTATCTATCTAGCTAGCTCTCCCTCTGTCTGTCTGTTATATGTTATATGTTAGTGTTCCCCATTTTACTGCCACCTATGTTTAGTAGTTAGGGTCATTACAATTGGTTCCAAGAATTGGAAATTATTTATGAATCATCCTAATCTATCTATCCATCTATGTATCTATCTATCTATCTATCCCTCTGTCTGTCTGTTATATGTTATATGTTGGTGTGCCCCAGTTAACAGCCACCTATTTTTAGTAGTTCGGGTCATTACAATTTGTGCCAACAATCGGAAATTATTTATGACTCATCCTAATCTATCTATCTATCTATCTATCTATCTATCTATCTATCTATCTATCTATCTCTGTTCTCTGTCTGTCTGTTATATGTTATATGGTTAGTGTGCCCCTGTTAACTGCCACCTATGTTTAGTACTTAGGGTCATTACAATTGGTTCCAAGAATCGGAAATTATTTATGACCCATCCTAATCTATCTATCTATCTATCTATCTATCTATCTATCTATCTATCTATCTATCTATCTGTCTGTTATATGTTATATGTTAGTGTGCCCCATTTTACTGCCACCTAAGTTTAGTAGTTAGGGTCATTACAATTGGTTCCAAGAATTGGAAATTATTTATGAATCTATCTATCTATCTATCTATCTATCTATCTATCTATCTGTTATATGTTATATGTTGGTGTGTTCCAGTTAACAGCCACCTATTTTTAGTAGTTTGGGTCATTACAATTTGTGCCAACAATCGGAAATTATTTATGACTCATCCTAATCTATCTATCTATCTATCTATCTATCTCTCTGTCCCTCTGTCTGTCTGTTATATGCTATATGGTTAGTGTGCCCCGGTTAACTGCCACCTATGTTTAGTACTTTGGGTCATTACAATTGGTTCCATGAATCGGAAATTATTTATGACTCATCCTAATCTATCTATCTATCTATCTATCTATCTATCTATCTATCTATCTATCTATCTGTCCCTCTGTCTGTCTGTTATATGTTATATGTTAGTGTGCCCCAGTTAACTGCCACCTATGTTTAGTAGTTAGACACTTAAACACTTAAGTGACAACGAGGTTTGAGAGAATATGAAAACAAGAATCAATTTATCCTTAACATCAGAAAGAATCAATTGGAATTTCTGCGGCACATAATGAGAAAAGACGGTTTGGAAAATATGATCGTCACAGGGCAGTTTGAGGAAGAGAAAGTGACAAAGGAAAGTAGCGCGAAATATACATGATAAGCTTCTGTAAATTGATGGTAGAACTGGGATAGGGAAAATAACAAAAAGACAAAACTTATTCAGAACTACAAGAGTTAGGGAGATATGGAGGACTATGATCTCCTAAATTCTGTAAGGACACGGCACATAAAAGAAGAATTCGCTTTCCACACCATGGGAAACTGTCAGGATATCTGAATCAGTTATTTCTAACATTTTCATTTTAGTTCTATATTTTTATGGTTACATTTTGCAATTAACTCACTCGTGTTAAGTTCCAATGCTATACAATCATAGCGACAACTAAAAAATGCTAGATAATGAATCGCAAAACAGTGAAATATAATACGTATGACTATCAGAATGATGTGGCGTGTGGCTGTGTCGGAACCATACCTAGTAATACCAAAAGGCCATTTTCATGGCGATATATTTCTAATTTGGCCTTTAAAAAATTCACTTGACTATTAAATGCAAAAAAAAAATTATTTTTATTTTTCCCTTTCTTATTTTCATTTTTCGAAGCTCTTCATAAATAAGTGGTTTAGTCTAACAACACAAAAAGTTTATTTTCTTTATTTTCATTGGTCTTAAGATTTGGACCAGCAGTGTACCTAAGTGTAATACATAATGCTGTCTACACCTGACAACAATCCTACATTTAAATAGCATTTAATTTAAACCATTTACTACTGGTGTGAGTTTTCCTTCTCATAGACTGCTTTCATCACGGCTATGAAGACCCATTTAACCCTATATACTGAATTACAACTTACCAGTAGCAGAAATCAAACCAAAATGTTAAAAGCTGACCTGACATATGAAACCACACTCTATCTTTACAAGAGTCAGTTCAGGCCCAAAAAATGGAGCACCGCTGCCTGATCGAGCCAGATGTTACACAATGCACACTCTTCGGCCTTGGCAGAGTTCAAAATCATTCATGCAGTCTTTTGGAGGATTAGTGTCTACTGGGGTAAAATAGGTATCCGGAATAAAATAGGTATGCATAGATATGTCATTGTTCATTTTCTGAAATGAATTGTGGGATTATGTACCTGTATTATGGTGCCCAGACTCCTTACCTGTATAAATTAGCTGATAACGTCAAATATTGCCTTTCTTTCACTTTTGGGTTGCTGATGAGAAGGACTTCATAAGGTCAGTCTCTCATTTGCATCTTTTGTTTATTCTACAATACTTTGTGCTCTGTCTGAATTTCAGGCTGTAAATGATCAAAAAGTGTCTGTAAAAGTAACAATGAGTCATATTCCTTGGTTTTCTGTAGTGTATTGACTTCTGTGATAGCCACTTGCTGAAAAATATCAACTTTCTATAGTCGTGGTAAAGTAGGTAACCTGACATGTAAGATTCTGTGCACATTTGAAAAGAGTCATTGTGTTTCAAATGTATCTGTTTCCATCACTCTTTTTACCTAGTTGGGATTCTAAAGTCATGTGCTTCCTTACCTCTTGTCCTGAAGTGCTTAATAAAATCCCTGAAAGTTCCATGCGTTCGAGCGAGCACGCGAACCGTTGCTCCGATCCCGCGGTTCCTCTCGTACTGGACGGGATAGCCGTGGCCACGGCCGACGTAACACGTGCCGATCGGTAGGATAAAACTAACCTGTCTCACGACGGTCTAAACCCAGCTCCCGTTCCCTGTCAGTGGGTGAACAATCTAACGCTTGGCGAATTCTGCTTCGAAATGATAGGAAGAGCCGACATCGAAGGATCAAAAATGCGTAAAAAAACAAATGTACCCAAGAAAAAGAAGAATTATAGTGTGGCGAATCTGACAGTTGCCTTGGCTAAAGTAGATTCGGGAGAGATAATAAAAAGTGTAGACAAAGAATACAGTATTCTCTATTTTGCTAACAGTTTTTGACCCCGATGTGACTGATATGTGATTGAAAAGTGTTTAGTCATAGCATATTATCTCAAGCTATTTATTAGGGTACATGCAATGTAAAAGATACTAATAGATAGTTATTTACCCATTTTACCCCGGGGTCCTTTCCAATTTTGTACAAAAATTAAGGCCCAAACAAAGCTTGTTTCATGGGTTATATGTTCATATAGGTACCAAGGAGACTTATGGCGCAAACATAGTAGCATTTTGTTTACATTAAGTCCTCTAGAGAAAATAATATAAGGATTTGAATTTCAAAATAGACCCTACCTATACCACGACGCGGCCCCTTTCCCCAAAGACACAAACCTGTTTTTATGGTAAATATTCAGACTAGCTCCATTCTTTAATGTCACCAGTTCGGAACTTTATACTTAAGATCTGCCTCGCCATATCCACAAGATTGAATCAACTTCATTCCAGACGTATTCCATTGATAAGAATGGGCACCTCGACGTGGTGTAATGCTTAACAAGCTTGTCTCGTTAGATCAATTGCGGTTGAGTAGTGAGTTCGATCCTCACTGCGTGCTCCACACTTTGGGCCTTGTGTCACATCTAAGCTACGCTTAGAAAATTATTTAAGCACTTCGACGTGGTTTAATGGTTAGCAAGCTGGCCTCGATAGATCAATTACGACTGATTAGTGAGTTCGATATTCACTGAGTGCTCCACATTTTGGGCCTTGTGCCACATCTAAGCTACCCCTAGTAAATCGTAAGATGTTGCTACTCCATTTATAAAGACTCCCAAAAGAGTATTTTGCAGATTTTTTTCAGTGAGGTTCATCCTGTACAAGGCACGGGAGTCACACCAGCTAGAGGTTCACAGAGTAAAAGGCACGATTTATGCGGATAAGTTGAGAATGGTTAACCCTAGACATGAACAGGTTAAGATTGTAGTAATCAGGAAAAAGCATCCACTTGGGAGTCGGTTCCACAGAGCAGTAAATTAAGGGAAGAAGCTTTCAGTGAGGTTCACCCTGTACAAGGCGCGGGAGCCCCTCGATCTGGAGGTTTAAAGAGTAAGAGGTACGTTTTATGCAGATATGTGGAGAATGGTTAACCCTAGACTTGAACAGGTTAAATTGTAGTAATCGGGAAAACAATCATTTAAGAGTCGGTTCCACAGAGCTGTAATTTAAGAGAAGCTGCTGCTCAAGTGGAACTTACTTCTTATTACTGGAATACGGGGGCGGAAATGAGGGCGATTTGCTACAATGCGCGTTGCATGACCGGCCCTAGTCGTGAAGTTTAGAACTGGTGAAACTAATAAATGTAGTTCGTCCGAGCACTTTCCATGGAAAGAGAGATAGCAGGACGGAAAATAGTTTTTCACTCACAAGGACGCTGAGACGCTTTTAAACCCTATTGAGATTGGAAAGTGTTTTAAAACGCTGAGATAAACTTTTGGGGGCAGGAGTTAAAGAACAGTTGTTTGGAGTGGACGAGGGCGCCTTTGTCATAAATAGGCGATTTTCTTTTTCTTTTTCTTTTTTTTTTTCGTTAAGATTAAATGACTGTATTTGTTTTTGTTTTTTTGTTTTTTTTTCAAGAAAAAAACTTTTACAGGTTGAGAATCCTTTATCCAAAATTCTTGGGACCGAAAGTATTTCGGTTTTCAGAATTTTTTTTTTTTTTTTTCAGATTTTAGAATAGAGGCTGTATCTATAAAATGGGACCGCTTGGGAATAGAAACCAAGCATAAACATGATATCCCTTTATATTTCATAATACACCTTATACATATACCCTGAAATTAGTTTTATATAAATAACGTATACCGTGAAAGTTTTATATCAAATTTAATAAATATAAGTAATGACCCTAGTCATGTAAAGCTCACCTACGTTTTTATGTGGTGAAATTATCATTTCACGTAAAAATACTTTTGTACTTTCTGTACGTGTGCAAAAAGCATAATCACTATTTACAAATATATATATATATAAATGCCACACTACTTCTACATCCGGTGGGAAAAACTGGATGAAGAGGATACATCACCGATGGCATCACTGTGAGTGTGAGAAGAAAAAATTCAGTAAACTATCAGTCTCTATCAACAATGTTGCGTTTTGATTAAAATGTTACAATACATAGAGTTACTGTATTTGTATAAAAATAACATGGATCCTGGTTACCGTTAAATGTAATAAAAACTGAAAAAGTCGGTATTTTATTTGTAACGCTGAAATGGATCAATCATGCTACGGGTAGCCATGTTACTTTCTGAAATTTTCGATTTTTCATTTGTGGCAAACATGTCAGTCTTTAAAAAACTTTCGGATTTTTAAATTTCGGATAAAGAATTCGTAAGCTGTATCTTCAAAATAGTATTTATTATTTACTTACCTTGATGTAAGTGAATTTTTTATCTTCTTGGTGGATCATGTAAATAACATAGGGAAGTATTCCATCGCCTTCATTATCGAAAACTCTTCTGTATTCGCCATTTGAGTTCTGCAGCTTCACTTGCTTGAAAATTTCTAAAGTCTCTGGGATTTTCTGGAAAAGTTTCGGACACACCTCTACAGAGTTGCATATTCTAGCAATAGACATATTTAAACCAACTGCAGCTGCGTAAACACTCTGGATAACAAGAGTTGCCCATAAGTGTTGTTTTCCTAAGTCTCTCAAAGTTATATTCGCCGGACAAGCTTTTGAACTCTGCTTGTTTAAGCTTGACGGCATATAACATTGGCTTTCCATCGCTGCCAAATTCCATACGTTACTCGAACTCATATCTAATTTTTTGTGTCTCAAATATTCTTCAAATGCAGTGTCGGGAAGCATATCAATTCCCAATGAAAGAGAACCAGCTATTTTTTCACCAATTCCATCAAGTCTTAGAGAAGAACCCCAAGCTTCGGAGCCGAGAAAGAAAAACTCACCTTCCTCCATATTTTCGGTGATTGATATCATAAAATTCTCAAGACGAACAGAATTTAAGAAAACAATAACGATTTTAGCCTCAGGTCTTCGTTTCAGTCCTTTAAGGATATTTTTTGGATCCTCTCCATTTTTATATAGCAAACTCAGCGTGACGCAAATTTTGGAATGTTTTGCCCTGGAAATCAATTCTCTTTGGGCCGAACGACCGTATGTATTATTCGCGTAGATCAGAGAAACATAGTGCCAACTCATTTTAACACAAATATCAATAATTGCTGATATTTGAAGATTGTCTGACGGTGTAAACCGGAGAAAATTCGAATGTTCATAAGACAGAGAATCCCGAAATAGGGAGCTGGTCGAAGCGTAGCTAATCTGGATTGTGTTCATGGCTGTCATCAACTGTGAAATGCCGATGCTCACTTCAGATGACAATCCTCCGATATAAACAAAGATTTTATCCTTTATGTTTAAACAATCGACTGTGTTTTGGCAAATATCTGCTGTTGCACGTAAAAAGGACAACATACTTTTAAAAGTTAGTAACTGATTGTTGCAGGAATCCATGATAATTATTCCAATACTTTTTCCTGGAAAAAGGTTCTTGTACACCTTCCTTTTATTCAGTTGTGCCACTGCGTAGAGCATGGCCTCCGCCAGTTGGCTACCTTTAATTTCCGACGGCGAGAGTTTATTGTAACAAGGACAGTTCATCGCGTCATTGCCAGTTCGAACCGGGACAATTCCGAATAACATGATATCTCCTTTTTTATAAAGAAATTTTGGAAAGCCTGTTGAACACGTGCGGCAGTTTTGTTTTTTAGGACATGTACCCCACATTTTTAAGTTGTGCAAAACCGAATTGTTTAAAATTAGATCCTTTCCGTTGTAATAACCAACCTAAAACAATAAAAGCAAAAGAAAAATTGGAGATTATTCTGACAAAATTATCATTGCGCCAACGTTAAAACTAAAAGTGTATACGAGACGAACAGACAGAGACAAAAAGAGAGACCCTAATGTCTGGACACATAGGTATAATGTATATTATTATATGATTTCCTATCCCTATCCGACCTGATGGTGTGTCGCCTTGACGTAGTAGGACGGCTTGCGTACTTCAACGACCCCCAGAGCTCTGGGGGCGTGGGATTCGGCCCTTAGACGGTCCAACAAAGCTCAATAGGTCTGTGGGGTAGGAGCCAGACGAAAGACAGATCCTGGTCCTCTAGGTTGGGGTTGTGCAGTAGGCTAACAACCTATTCACTTAAAAAAAAACTAGCTTGTTACAGAAACCTCCAAACAACGACATGACTGAGGAAGGGTCCTCTATAGTAGAGCGTATTACACGTGCTGATGAAAATCTCCCGGGAAGGCAGCCGACACGACATGGGCCGGAGCTGAAAAGGATAGCTTGGAACCGCGTCCGTTGGAGAAGTGTTGTTGCGGCCCTATGTTCCCCCAAGGAAATATGAGGCTTAAAGAAAAAAAATCTACATACTGAATAAAATAAGAACTAGACGGGGTATCCCTAGACATGGGCAGTGGAACGAGAACAGTCTACCAACCTAGATTGAATAAAGTGTTCAGTTCAGAACTCAATGTAAATTACCAATGTACACCTGAGAAGGCCGGAGGGCAGAACACCCAAAATGTTGTGATAACAACAACAAAGATGAGGACAATAATTCGAATATAAATAGTATAAATAATGATAACACTTCACCCCTGAAATTCAGACAAAATTTTTCAAACGGTCGGAAAATTAACATTTCATGCATTCTATAAATTATATGACAAGAACAACTTAAATTTTGTGGTCCGTTCGTTAAAAATGGGGAAGAATTCATTTTGCAACAATTTTTGCAGATTGAAATTCATTTCTCCTATTTCAAGCCACGACATTTGCCAGAATCCGAAAATATTGCTTTTTTTTATCATTTCAGAAAGAGGATCCTGTTCATATTATTCATACAGTATAAAATTAATATTAAATATATATTAAAATATCAAATATTAGAAACATGAAAGTTGGTTCACTGTGTTGTGCGTGACAATTTTTCTCTCCAGAAACGATTTTACATATCTACCGGGTGTAACAGCAACATTGTCCAAATTTTGTAACAGCATAATTGTCCATCCCACAAATTGTTTAATATCTAATAAACCACTAAACTGATCGAGTTTCTTTTTTCCAGGTTTTCAGATAAGACGTTTAGCCATCTTGACACCAGTTGTCATAAGAATCACTGAAATCCTTTGAGTTATTCAGCTAAAAAAGAACAGTTTAAAATCATTTTGTGTCAGCCCCTCTGTCTTCCCAAATAAGCAATGGTTAGAGGAAAAAGTCCATTCAAGACCAAAGAAAACGGTGAATAAGTTTAAAAAAGAGGGAATAATAGAGAGGAAAACAGGTTCAGGAAGTCACAACTTTTTTTAAAAAAAAAGAAAAAAAAAAAAAAAAAAAAGAGAATTTTCTCTTCTTTTTTTATGGTAACTATCTTTCTGCTTGTTGAAAGTAATTAAAAGTATTGGTGTGCAAATTTCTATATTAAACAACTCTTAAAATAAATAGCAACTTATCAGAGATTCGCAATTTGTCTATGGATACAAATGTCCAGGGACGCAATTGTCTGGTACGCAACTGTCCGTCCACAAACGAAAGATGTCTTCCAAAAGCTAAGCAAAGTATTGAAATGGGGAAAAAAAACGCCCGAGAAACAAAGACAAGAGTATTTAACTATTTTGAAATATGGGTCTTCCTGTATGCTAGAGAAGGGTGGACAATCTCATCACAGATGAAGAAAAGACTTAAGGCAATAGAAATAGAAGAATTCTGAAAATACCACGATTGGATATGTGGGCAATGACGAAGTTTATGAGAACACTAGCAGCATGACCCGGCGTTGCCCGGGCTTGATTAAAAAATTGTACGACTCATACAGCAATCGCTATCACTTGACTTAAAATATTTTTGCCCTTCCTTGCCTTTAAAGGAATGTCCTTTGCCGTGCTGATGTTGCTACATGCCTTATTTCTTGCCTATCTCACATTGCGAATTTTTTCTAAGCCCTATACTAAACATTAAATTTGTTACGAAAAAAGAACTAAACAAAATTAACACAAAACGATCAGCTTTAAAAAAGGACTCGTAACTGGAAAAACCGAATGAAAAAAGAATGTTAACAACAAATACTTTTTCACACCCAACCCAGTTCTGCGGAATCAGAATCAACGTTGAATTTAAGCAAGCGAATGAGCCAATTGGAGTAAAGTGCCATGCAGATTTAAATTTTTCCCACTTATGACGAATGCAGCTATCGATTTTTTTTTTCATGATAGCATGCTAGTTAACATTCGTGTCAGTCAGCTGTTGGCTCTCACGCTGACCAGTAGAAAATGGCCGCAAACTACATGAAAACTACCGTAGAAACATGAAAAAATCGATTATTTCCACTGTCGATGGGAGATGGAAAATGACAAGTCGGTCTTGGCCCTTCCGCTAACTTGGAGCATGTGCATGTAAATTTTGGTGCAAACCCGTCGAAAATTGCGGCCGTGCATTCGTTACACACACACACACACGCGCGCGCACACACACACACACACACACACACACACACATCCTGCCTGTTATAGATAGTGATTAAACAAAAAGGACACTTATACATAGAATCAGAAATAGATTGAAATTTCTAGGTCACATAAGGAAGAAAGAGGGCTAGGAAAATTTGACACTCACATGAGATATTGAAAACGAGGGGGACAAGGAAAAACAGCACATGAGCTGCCTAACGAGCTCGTGTAAATGGTTGTCAGAACAGATATTAGGAGTGAGAGCGGAAAGACAAAATTTACTAAGTGCAACAAAGGACAGGAAATTGTGGAGAGACGTGATCACCCACGTCCTGAAGAGTCAAGCAACACAGATGAATTTAAGCGTGATACTAGATTGGCAACTAGGTCTCACCGTTTTTCTGTTGAACTAGCTAGATGCAACCGCCACTTCGACTCTGACAGTTGCTTTTCTCGCACTTTCCACCTGTGGAAATCCCTCCCGATTTCTTGCTTCCCTGATAACTACAATCTTCAAAAGACTTAAATGCTTTTTTGTCCTTTCCTCAGCTATCCCCCTTTTTATTATTCTCTTTTTTTTTTTTTTTTTTTCATTTTTACTCCCTGTACCCAACCCCGTGTTCTAGTGGCATTGTCGCCTTGCTTGGGGTTAAATAATTAAAACAAATGATGAAGATCTTACCTCTTGAAATTTAAACCGGCCAGTATCATCATTTAGCATATTATTGTAAACATTGTAGGCTATAAAACCAGACGGAAAGACAAGATTGCCTTTTTCATTGAACTGTCCAGTTAAATTCATTGGTGAATAACCAAGAATTTGGCTCAGATAAGAAAAATCGATGACCTGGTTTTCAATATCTCTTAGAGTAATGATCGATAAAGGACAAGATTTTTGTTGGCATTGAGTTTTTTGCTTTCTTAACAGAAACGCGAATATATACATACCAGTGAGTTTTGGAAGCACTGAATTTTTATTAAGCATTTTCGACAGCTTTTCGGCAGCCTGTGTTAAATTGCAGGTCGTCTGTAATGCATGGGGGCATACAAAATGTTTTAGCATTTTTTGGAAGATTTCATTTTGACTCGTCCAATTTGCGTTGAACAAACTTTCCCAGTATTTGTCTAAACTTGGAAAAGAGATATGCGGACGCATCACTGCCAAAGAGTTTTCGAAAATTTCAATATTAGCAAACGAATCGTCTGCTAACACTGACTCCGTTAAGATAAACCTAAAACTACTTAGTCTTGTCCTACGAACACTCTCCAAAGTCCACGGCTGCGCAATAATTACAACTCCTTGAACATTTGGATAATCAGAGGTGAGTATAAAAAGTTGTTCGTTGATTTCTTCTATGCCTAGTTTAACAGCCAAAGTGATTCTCAGATCAGGAAGATTGTCACTTAAAAGTTTGGCACCTTCTTCGCCGTAGACATCTTTCTCGTAAAGAATAGCAACATAGTTCCAGTTCAACTTTTTCAAAAGTTGCGCAATCAACTGAAAATAAAAAAAAAATTCATTAATGGTGAAAAGAAAAAGAAACATTCTAAAGATGTCCAACATTACGTTTTCATTATTTTAATTAACCTTTGCTAAATAAGCGGGAAATTAAGATGGCATTATCGAATGATAAGGAGTGTGTAGAAGTTTAGCTGCTAAGATCTCTTTGTATATTTCTTGAGCTGGTGTGTTTTTACCGCTCGGCCACGAAGATCTTTACAATAAAGCAAGATTCTATTTTCTCGAATAGGAAACTCTGCAGTATACGGTATGTGTAAAATTTGAACTAGTAAGAGTGCGAAACTAGGTTTGAATACACACACACACACACACACACACACACACACATATATATATATATATATATATATATATATATATATAATGAATCCACAGCATGATTATTCTGACAAAAGAATATTTTCTATAGTTTTATTGTTTTAAAATGACCCGATTTTTCAACTAAATCGTGTATTGTATTTTAAAAGAATCATTCTGGTTTTGGTTGCATGAATTCTTCGAGACTGTTGATTCCAATCTAATGAGGAATGACTGTCCCTCACCAATTTATCGGCGGAAGCACACAAATGCATGCAGGGATTTCTTCCTAGCCAATAAAATAGACCGGTTCTCGGTTTCATCTGACTCAGTCCTATTCTGTCTGGTCTTGAAGTCAGAATGCTACGTTCGCTTGTCCGACCTTGCTTTTGTGTGTCAGCCCCAATTTTTGTGAACTTTTTTGCATATTACTGTTAACTTACTTATTACTATTAATTTGCCTTGCATATATTGTTTGCTTGCTTTATATTATTTTTTGCCCTGTTCTTTTCTTTTCTTTCTCTTGTTATTATTGCAAACTTTGTCAATTCTGTTTGTTAGATATTTCTGTCAATTACATTTAACCATGGTCAATGTCTCTGCAACAATGATAATAGTGGCAGATTCAAATTGAGGGAATGTTGATATTTCTAAAACTTCTGATAATCTTGGAAGGGAAAATGGTCATATTAACTATTACAACGCGCTACGTAGCACTTATAAGCAATGAAATTAAAGTGTATTGGAGTGTAAAATAAATCTGATGACTCAACCTCGGGATAAAATACTTCAACCTTCAGGTGAATTTTAGAGTTTCAAAGAGGAACAATTGTTGGTTTCAATTACTGGGATTGACTGCAAAAAACTCTCCCATCCCCAATTTATAGACAAAACACACAGATGCATGCTGGGATTTCTTCCTAGACAATATTTTCGTTCTGGTCTGGAAGAAAAAAATGTTGCGATCGATTGTCTCTATCTCCCTTTGTGTGTTAACACAATTCTTAGTTTTTGAAACTTTTTGCCTTATTTACTGTTGTTTTGCCTTATTACTGTTAATTTGCCTTGCATATATTGTTTGCTTGCTTTATATTATTTTTTGCCTTTTTTTTTTCTTGTTGTTTATTGCAAACTTTGTCAATTCTGTCTGTTGGGCAGTTCTGCCATTTATTTACATTTAACAATAGACAATCACTCTACAATTAAAGTTAAAAAAAATAAAGGAGTTATTAAATTTTGAAATCATTTGGTGAGTTTTGGGATGACCTGTATAATCAATATAAGATATACAAGTTGAAAAGTGAGAGAACGAGCAAAATAAAATTCTTACCTGACCATTGTATCACCAACTTCAAGCTGCCATATTGATCACTGTCAAATGTATATACATCACCAGCTTCAGCACCCCCACCCCAATTTCGGCCTTGTGCTACAATTGGATTTTATATACAATAAATGTAGACTCAGTCCTGGTTTGTCTTGGAGTCAGAACGCAACAATCGAATTTGCCCATGGGTCAATCCTAATTCTTAGTTTGTGAACTTTTTGCTTTCCCTTATTACTGTTAGTTTGCCTTGCATATATTGTGTTGAGGGGTTCTCCCCTTTTTACACAAATGGACTCACCCAGTATATACATATACTACGGCTATGTGAAGACCCGGAAGCAAGAGTCGAGTCGAGTCCAGAGTTACAGAGTAAAAGGTTGTAGGTAACCGGAAGAGTGAGGGTGAGGTAACAGCGTTGTAGGAGTCACAGTGAGCAAGCACGTAGACTCAGTAAGAATTCATACAGCGATTCTTCAATACCAAAGACTATATATATATATATATATATATATATATATATATATATTGCTACTAACCCGTATTCCTGGAACTACTAACCTGTTTTACCAGTTTGTATTATGACGTTAATACATTATTTTCATCTATTCGTTCCTGGCGTTTGTTATTTATTGGTACCGGATTTCAACTCGGAATACACAACATATTGTTTGCTTGCTTTATATTATTTTTGCCATGTTCTTTTCTTTTTCGTATTATTACTTATTACAAACATTTTTTAATTGTGTTTGTTGGACAATTCTATTATTTATTTTCCATTTAACCATGGCAACTCACTCTTCAGAGGCATTCTTCGATGTCTTGAATTTGGTATCTCTGATTAAAAAAGAAACAAAAATAAATGACTTTTCTGAAGGTGATACCCATGTCTATATATCGAATGCGAAAGAACTCCATGCGCCACATTATCATGTGCATTAACATGAAACTAAATTACTAGCTGAATGTCGAGCTGTGAAAGAAGGTATTCGAATTTCGTAATTAGCTGCATGTAGTAAAGAAGTCAATTCTTTCGTTTTTCTAACATCAAATCTAATTAGAAATTCAAAACATGGATTTGTAGGTGTAAATGGAATTCTTCTGCAATTCACATTATTACCAATAAAAATCAAAAAGATAAAAGAAAATGGTCAGGCATCTTTACCTGAAATTGGTAGCCGTCATCTGGAATGACCCGAAAGAATGTTCGATATAAGGCCCTATTATTCAGCTTGTCGGCAGTCTCTGCTGTTCCAATCTGAATTACACTCTTTTGGGATGGCAATGAACTCAGAAACCAAGAAACATTCAACATATTGGCACTTGTTGTCATACTGAGAATACCTTTTAAAAAAAAGATCAAATCTCTGATTATAAACCTTGATCAACATGAAAAGGAGACACAAATAATCTTTAACTTCTATTGTGAATAAAAAGTTTGTATATAGAGAACAAATACACCAAATTAGAACGAAAAGTACGACAAAAGTGTGTTTTCTCACCGAATTTATTTAATTTATACACTGTAATTCTAAGAGGACTGGAAGACCTACAAGGACTTATTATCGGTGTATGTAGTCTTAACAATATACGCTACGAAGATCATGTTGTTCGCAGGTTCAAACGAAATGTACTTTCCGACAAGGTATTAAATGAAAGCAAGTACTTGTCTTAATGCGAATACTTTTAAAAAGGTTCAGAAACTTCGATTACAAACCTCGATCTACATGGAAAGGATATATGAGCAATTTTCAAATTTTATTAGGAATAAAATGCTTGTATATTGAGAACAAAGACGCTACGATAGAAAGAAGAGTACAAAGATGTGTTTTCTTGCCGAAATTTATTTAATTCGTAGAGTGAAGTGATTCTAAGAGGACGAGAAAACCTATAAGGGTTTATTATCAGTGTATTATCAGTGTATGTAGATACGTTGATAAAAACAACAAACTCTGTGAAATGTTCGTACTGGAGATCATGTCGAGAATGCCAAGCATTACAGCAAGACGTTTCTAAATTTATGGCGGAGTGAATTGCGTCATGGTGCACTTTTTCTTACAGACAAAATCAAAAACAAAACAACGCGCATGCGTGTAATTAAAAATGTAAAATGGCGACAATTTACCTATCTCAATCTGTATATATAGTAGGGTAATATATTTTTGTAAACTAATTGATTTCCTATATCCTAATTCGATGAACTTCAAACAAACGATGAACTGTTAAAAAATAATGAAGAAAGGGTTTAATTCATTTTTTAAATGTCACACCAACGCGAAATTTTTAAAATCGTATAATAAGTATAATAGAACTATGACTTTCTAGAACCTTCTAGAAATTTCCGGAGCCTTCTAGAACTTCCTGGAGCCTTCTAGATCTTTGTGGAACCTTCTGGAAGTTGTTTTTGTTTATTTTTTAATTTGCATGTTATGGTATAGCTATAAATTGGTAAATACATTAGAAACACATGAGTAATATCCAATTTCATTATATGAAAAATAAATTTGAAATATTTTTACTTCTTACTTTTATTGCATATATGATATAATTGCTTTTGGGAGTGACCTTTTTACGGGGACTAATACAAATGAATGCCTTTCTCATTACATTTGAACATCCTCGATTTATGACGGGAACGTAGGGTTACAAAAAGACTATAACCCTAATATATATATATATATATATATATATATATATAAAGAGAGAGAGGGGAAGGGAGAAGGAGACTATATTAAAAAGTTTGAGTACACCTTGCATTTCTTTAAAAACACCTTAAAATGTTTGTGTATTTTAAAGTAAAAGAATTTCAGTAAGTACAATGTATTTTGCTTTTATTATAACGAAATAGTTCCAATGTAGATTTTTCCTAAATTATGCATATCTTGTATAAGAAACATTATATTTTGTTTTCACCATTAACTCCTCGGCAGACTTTCTGAGATAATCAAAATTTTCAAATAAGTTAAACGTTAATACAGATCCTCAGAACTGACAAATATTGTAAACAAAACATATATACCTGTCTCTGAAAAAAGAAAAAAGATTATGTCACTACGACAGTATTTTCATAGATTTTCTTTTTACATTTTGAAGTAATTTGCAGATTATGGCAAAATTAAAGCGGCTAAACATTGAAATTTTATTCAAAGAAGGCTACTCTCAAAGACAAATTGCCAAGAAGATTTCTGGACACATTACAAAGTCAGTTACAAACTGGCGCAAAATATGACAGAAAAAAATCTGGGGCACCAAAAGAAACAACCGCCGCTCATTATTCAGGTTGTCTAGTTTTAACTTTTTGCGGAATTAACAAAATGTAATTGAAAGGAAACGACATTCACTGACCAATGAGTTTCTTTGGTCCAGTTTGGTACTTCTTCAGCAATTCCATCGTACGGATGACACTGGATTTTGGTTCGCAAACATCTGCAATATCGATCTCTGCAAATAAAAAAGATAAGTATATTGTTTTCTTAAAATCAAGTTGCCTATGATAATAAAAGAGAATAGGCTGCATTTCACAAGCTTTTAGTCAACTACTAGATCTACCCGTGACACGTTGGGTCACTGACGCTTCAGTTTATAAATCATTGAGGTTGATTTCGACATTAAAAAAATTACTCGCATTTTTAAATCTTATTCACTTAGAATATATTAAAATCAGATTAACTTTAATATGCCAAAAGATATTAAGTTATATTCACTTGAAAATATTTTTTTAAGTATGCTAAAAAATATTTTTTAAATATTTAAAATATTGTTGTTTTTTTTTTAAAGAAAGCTGAAATATAAATATAAGCATGCACGCAATCACAGATAGGTGGAAAAGACAGAGAGGTGGAAAGGCAGAGAGGTGGAAAGGCAGAGAGGTGAAAAGACAAAAAGCTGGAAAGAATAAGGTGGAAAGGAAGAAAAGTGCAAAGACAGAGAGGTGGAAAAGACAGAGAGGTGGAAAAGACAGAGAGGTGGAAAGGCAGAGAGGTGGAAAGGCAGAGATGTGGAAAGAGAAAGGTGTAAAGAGATATGTGGAAAGACGAAAAGGTGGAATGAGTAAAGTGGAAAGAGAAAGAGAGGTGGAAAAGACAGAGAGGTGGAAAAGACAGAGAGGTGGAAAGGCAGAGAGGTGGAAAGAAGAGAGAGGTGTAAAAAATGGTGGAAAGAGAAAGGTGGAATGGAAAGATTAAAGAAAGAGGTGGAAAAGACAGAGAGGTGGAAAAGACAGAGAGGTGGAAAGGCAGAGATGTGGAAAGAGAAAGGTGTAAAGAGATATGTGGAAAGACGAAAAGGTGGAATGAGTAAAGTGGAAAGAGAAAGAGAGGTGGAAAAGACAGAGAGGTGGAAAGGCAGAGAGGTGGAAAGGCAGAGATGTGGAAAAGAAAAGTGGAAGAAGAGATGTGGAAAGGAGAGGTGGAAATGCAGAGATGTGGAAAAGAAAGAAAGAGATATGTGGAAAGACAAAGGTGGAAAAGGGCAAAGAGTAAGGTGGAAAAGAGAGAGGGGGAAAGAAAGGAAGAGATGGAAAGAAGAGAAAAGGTGGAAAGAGTAAAGAGAAAAGAGATGTGGAAAAAAGAAAGATTTGAAAGGGACTAAGGTGGAAAAAAACAGAGGTGGAAAAAGACAGGAGAGGTGGATTGGGCAGAGAGATGGAAAAAGAGAGGTGGAAAGAGATATGGAAGACGAAAAGAGAGAGTGGAATGAGTAAAGAGGGTGGAAAGAGAAAGGTGGAAAAAGAAGGAGGTGGACAAACCAGAAGGTGAAAGCAGAGGAGGTGGAAAAGCAGAAGGATGGAAAGGGAAAGAGAGGTGGAAAGACAGAGAGGTGGAAAAGAAAGATGAAAGAGAGAATGTGGAAAACAGGTGGAAAAAAGGGTGAAAGAGAGGTGAAAAAAGAGAGAAAGGAAAAGAGAGAAAAAGAAAGAGAGAGGTGGTGGAAAAGACAGAGAGGTGGAAAGGCAGAGAGGTGGAAAGGCAGAGAGGTGGAAAGAGAAAATGTAAAGAAGATATGTGGAAAGGTGGACGAGAAAGGTGGAAAAGAGAAGTGGAAAAGAAAGAGAGGTGGAAAAAAGACAGAGAGGTGGAAAAAGAGAGAGAGGTGGAAAAGAGAGGTGGAAAAGGCAGAGATGTGGGAAAGGTGAAAGAGAAATGTGGGTGGAAAAAAGGTGGAATTTATTCTGGAAAAAAGAGAGGTGGAAAAGACAGAGAGGTGGAAAAGAAGAGAGGTGGAAAGGGAGGTGGAAAGAGGTGGAAAGAGAGATGAAGAAAAGGAGTTATGTGGAAAAGAAAGGAAGAGGTGGAAAAAAAGACAGAGGTGGAAAAAGAAAAAAGGTGGAAGGGAGAGATGGTGGAAAGAGAAGAGTGGAAGAAGAGAGAGTGGAAAAGAAAGAGAGAGAAAGAGAGAGGTGGAAGAGAGAGATGGAAAAGAAAAGTGAAAGGCAAAGAGGTGAAAAAAGAGAGGATGGAGAGAGGTGGAAAGAAAGATGTGGAAAGAGAAAAGAGGGATGTGGAAAGAGAGGTGGAAAGAGAGATGTGGAAATATCTGAAAAAGAGAGAGAGTGAAAGACAGAGGTGGAGAAAGAAAGAATGTGGAAGGAGAAAAGATTGAGTAAAGGGGAAAGAAGAGAGGTGGAAAGGACAGAGATGGAAAAAGAGAGATGTGGAAAGACAGAGAGTGGAAAAGGTGGAAAAGAGAGAGTGGAAAGAAATGGAAGGGGAGAAAAGAAAAAAAAATGGAAAGAGAGGTGGAAAGAGAGAGAGTGAGAAAGATAAGGTGGAAAAAAGAGAGAGGGTGGAAAAGGAGAGAGGTGGAAAGAAAGATGAAAAGAGAGATGTGGAAAGAGAGATGGAAGGAGAGATGGAAAGAAAAGAGAAAGGAGGTGGAAAGAGAGATGTGGAAGGGGAGAAGGGAAAGAACAGAGATAAGAGGTGGAAAGAGATGTGGAAGGGGAGAGATGGAAAGAAGCAGAGAGCAAGGTGGAAAGAGAGATGAAAAGGGGAGATGAAAGAATAGATAAAAAGAAAGAAAAGAAGTGGGAAAAAGAGAGATGGAAAAGAAGCAGAGATGGAAAGGTGGAAAGAGAAATTTGGAAAGAGGGAGAGAAAAGAAGATAGAGGAAAGAGTGGAAAGAGATGTGGAAGGGGAGAGATGGAAAAGACAGAGAGGTGGAAATTGGGAAAGAGAGATGTGAAGAGGAGAGATGCAAATGTGGAGAGAGTAAAGGGAAAAGAGAGATGTGGAAAAGGTGGAAGAAGTAAAGTGGAAAAAGAGGTTGCAAAGAGAGAGGTGGAAAGGGAGAGGAGTGGAAAGAAGCAGATGAAAGAGAAAGGTGGAAAGAGAGATGTGGAAAGGGGAAGTGGAGAGATGGGAGTGGAAAGAGAGAAAGGGAAGGTGGAAAAAGAAACAGAGAGTGGAAAGGAAAGAGATGTGGAAGGGGAGAGATGGAAAGAAGCAGAGAGTGCGAGGTGGAAAGAGAGATGTGGAAGGGGAGAGATGGAAAGAAGCAGAGAGTGCGAGGTGGAAAGAGAGATGTGGAAGGGGAGAGATGGAAAGAAGCAGAGAGTGCGAGGTGGAAAGAGAGATGTGGAAAGGGAGAGATGGAAAGAAAGAGAGATCAGAGGTGGAAAAGAGAAGAGAGGGAGAAAATGGAAGAAGCAGAAAGAGAAAGGTGGAAAGAGAGATGTGGAAAGGGAGAGATGGAAAGAAAGAGAATGCTAGGTGGAAAGAGAGAAGTGGAAGGGAGGAAAGGAAGAATTGGAAAGAGAGAGAGGTGGAAAGAGATGGAAAGATGGAAAAGAGTGGAAGAAGGAAAGAGGAAGGTGGAAAGAAGTGGAAAAATGGAAGAAAGAAAGGTGGAGGTGGAAAGAGAGAGGTGGGAAGAGATGGAAAGAAGCAGAGAGAGAAAGGGGGGAAAAGAGATGAAGTGGAAAGGGAGATGGGAAATGGAAGAGAGAAGGTGGGAAATGGAGAGAAAGGTGGAAAGACAGAGAGTGGAAAGAAGAGAGATGGAAAGGAGAGAGGTGGAAAGAGACAGTGAGGAAAAGAGAGATGAAAAAAGCAGAAAAGTGGAATGAGGAGGTGGAAAGAAGCAAGAAGAGGAAAAAAGGAAGGTGGAAAAGAGAGAGGAAAAAGAGATGTGGAAGAAAGAGGTGGAAAGAAGAGAGTGGAGAGAGGTGGAAAGAGAGAAGTGGAAGGGGAGAGATGGAAAGAAGCAGAGAGTGCGAGGTGGAAAGAGAGATGTGGAAGGGGAGAGATGGAAAGAATATATAAGAGGAAGGTGGAAAGAGAGGTGGAAAGGGAGAGATGGAAAGAAATTTAAGAGAGAGAGGTCGGGAAAGAGAGATGGGAAGGGGAGAGATGGAAACAAGCAGAGAAAGGTGAAGGTGGAAAGAGAGGTGTAAAGAGAGATTTGGAAAGAGAGAGATGCATGGTGGAAAGAGGGAGGTGGAAAGAGAGAAGTGGAAAGGGGAGAGATGGAAAAGTAGAGATGAGGAAAAGAGAGATGTGGAAGAAGAGAGATGTGGAAAGAAAGTGGAGAGAGAGTGGAAAGAGAGGTGGAAAGGGAGAGATGGAAAGAAGAGAGTGGGTGGAAGAGAAAGGTGGAAAAGAGAGATGTGGAAATTAAGAGATGGAAAGAAGATGTGGAAAAAGAGGTGGAAAGAGAAGGTGGAAGGGGAGATGGAAAGAGACAGAGAAAAAGAGGTGGAAAGAAGAGAGGTGGAAAGAGAGAGAGGAAAGAAGCAGAGAGGTTTAAAAGAGATTGAAAAAAAGAGAGATGTGGAAAGAAACAGAGTGATGGAAAAGAGAGAGAGTGGAAAAAGAGAGTTGGGAAGGAAAATTGGAAAGAGAAGAGGTCCAGAAAGGAAGAGAGATGGAAAGGCAGAGATGAAAAGGGACAAATCCTTGGATGAGATGTGGAAGGAGGAGAAAAAGAACAGTTTTGAGGTGGAAAAGAGAGATGAAAAGACAGAGAGAGATGGAAAAGGAGAGAGAGAGTGAGGTGGGAAGAGAGATTGGAAAGGGAGAGATGGAAAGAGAATGTGGAAAGAGACAGAGATGTGGAAAGACGAACGGTGGAAAGTGGAACGCAAAGAGAGGTGAAAAAAAGAGAGAGGTGGAAAGAGAGATGGTGGAAGGGGAGAGAAAAAAGAAAGAGAGTGAGAGCAAAAAAGAGAGAAGTGGAAAAGAAAGAGAAAGAAAGAGAGCAGAGAAAAAGACAGAGAGAGGTAAAGGGAAAGATGGTGGAGAGAATGGAGAGAGAGAGGAGGTGGAAAAGAGATGTGGATGGGGAGAGATGGGTGGAAGAGAGAGTGAGGTGGAAAGAGACAGTGAGAAGGAAAAAAAGATTTAATGGAAGAGAGAGGTGGAAAGAGAGAGTGGTGGGGAGAGATGGAAAAGAAATTTAAAGAAAGAGGTGGAAAGAGAGAAGTGGAAAAGAGAGTGGAAAGAAAGAGAGGAGAGGTGGAAAGAGAGAGAGGAAAGGAAGGAAGATGGAAAGAAATGAAAAGAGAGAGGTGGAAAGAG